GGGGATGGAATTTCACTCTAATATGGATGTCTGGAAGGGACCATCTGTGAAGGGGAAGATGATGAGCTACCAGTGGGACATCCAGGTGGACACACCTGTAACTGTTGGTCTGCAAGTTAGAAGAAAATCTGCAATAGAGATAGAAACTTGGTCTTTGTGAGACTGAACGAGCTTTTCTGGAGAGAAAGAGTGTGTGAGAGAAGGGCAAAAGCAAAAGAACATGTAGGTCAGAGCCTGAGGATCATCTGCTAGTGATCAGGTTGAGGAGAGAGGTGGCAAAGGACAATGGGAAAGAAAAGTGGGAGGAAATGAGCGTAGGGACACGGACATGAAAGCAAAGAGTGTTTAGGAGGGTGGCAGGGGTCAACGGTGTCCAATCCTGCTGGGAAGTGGAAGAAAGATGAGGACAGAGAAGTGTGCTCTTTTAGTCAGGACTTGTAAATCAGGTGACCTTAACGGGGGCATCCAGTCATTCATTAGTCAGTATATTTAAGCCACTGCCATGTACTATATTCTAATCACACAATGATGACTGATTTAATGTGGTAGAGAGAAGAGTCAATTGGGACTAAGGAAGTTTAATTACTCAAGATGTAGAATTCTGGAAGACAGTGAGTTGGAGGGGAAGCTTTGTCTGGAGTCATTACTATCTAATAAACAGGAAGTACTAGTTTTTAAAGAAAATCCCCATAACTAAGAATGTGCACTACATTGAGTGGTGGCAATGCAACACTTCAGAAGCGCAGAATATAATTCTTTATGGACTGTGTGTAAATCAGAGAAAACAGGCCAAGGTGTTCATGGAACATCACTAAAGCTTTATAACAATACAATTCATTACCATTGGATTAATATTGTAATAATTACACACTTTTTACATTATGAAAATAAGTCATAAATAGTGTAAAAATAATTCTGAAGATCAACTTCTCACAAACTAGGAACCCTGAAAACAAGTTAAAAAAGCAAATCAAAACATATTAGAAACTGAACACAATGCAAGTATCTCCAGACTGCAAATCAAAAACCACAATGCATCTTTGATCCGGCAACATCAGCTGGAGAAATTATCACGAGACTGAAGCAAGAAATCAAACAGGGAGAATTCAGCCTTTCAATTATTTACACTACGGAGAAAAACACGTTTGTGCCATATTTACAGTGATAAGACACAACACATTCTTAGAATAATCAGTTACATGAGACTGGCCCATAAAACATTAAGAAAAATACGCAGTGTAATGCTTGCCAAAATATTTTTTTTTTGCATTTTCTTCTTCTTTTGTATTTACGTGATTTTTTGGCAATATAAAAATAGCTGCACATAGAGATGAACTTTAAAATGTAAAAAATACAAATAAAAATATAATATTTTCTAAAGGAAAATCAGATACATACATCTTTTAAAAATGTTAAGTGGCATGAAACATTTACAACAGTATAAAGAATATTCACATAAATGTCAACAATATGTAAGACATTCCTTTGTGAATCCAATTTCTTAATATTTCTGAGATATGTGAGAATATCCACTGCATTTTGAGAAATATTGACACTTTGTTAAATTATCAATAAATCAAACATAATAGGTCAGGTTGAAAAGGTCTTCCTATTTCCAAAAGAACAGTTCTGTCAATAAGCAGCATAGGGAATCTTATACATTTAAAGAAAAAATCAGAAATGCCATTAAAATGTTTCAGTATTGGATCAGCAAAAACAAAATCCACTAAAAATTTAAGCTGGAAGAGTATCTCTGCCACGGCATGGCATATAGTAAATATAGCCAAAATGAAGATATTTCAACAAAAGTGGGAAAAAGTAGGGACTGAAAGTCCTTACATTCGAAAATAATTCAGCAGAATCATAATTGGTCAAGTATGTTAATTCCACTAGGAATGAATGATTTCAACATGTGATTGTTCTTTATTATTATTCTTGAGAACATAAGGTAAGGTTGTTATGGACTTGACTTTCTAGAGGCTGCAGGATTTTTCTTTTTTTGTTTTGGTAGAAATTAGAAAAGTTCATTTTTGGTAATGTTAATTATTAATATAACTTGATTATCAAGAAATAGAGAAAAACGAGGTTTCAAATATCAATATCTGCATGTTCCTATGATCACTCATTAGAAGATATTAAAACACCACCCACCAAACAAGCATAACTCATTTCTGGGTAAGATAATACACAGTGGCAGGAAAAAAAAGGATGAAAAGTGGTGTTAACTTTTTATGCTACGATACTAACATTAAAGAAAAAAAACACCTTGGAAAATTAAACACATTTTTTAAGTGATAAAAATATAAGATACCAGACAATTTTCCATAGGTACTGACATGCTGATTTGACCGTTTTCCCACCTAGAGGTTTATATATATATATATATATATACAGTAGACAAAGGACATGTAGAATGAACTACTGGATGTGTAAGTTCTTACTGTGCCATCAGAACATCAGGCACAGAAAGTAAATTCAAGAACAGACTTTTTCTTTTTGGTAAAAATTCAAGATATTCTCATTTTTTCTATAAAAACAAATAAGAAAGAAAAATCCTTCAAGACTGCTTTTCATAATGAAGATGAAAACTAGAAGAAAAATATGGGCACACTTGTGTCAGATACTCTATGAATGTGTCCAGACTTGTCTAATGCTGGTTTTGTCATGCGTAATCAACTTATATAAGCTAACAGATGAGAATGAAAATTGAGAAAAGCATATGGCATACGAAATGAACATGAAACAAGAGGATCCACGATCCAGGTAAACACACATCAACCTACAGGTACACTGTTTCGTTTTGTTTTACATCAAGAGAGACTGGTCATGGAACCATCATTATAGCAAATACATGAAAATAAAATCACACACTAATAGTTTAGGAATGCTATTAAACAGAGAAATGAAATTATCTATAGTAGAGTTGCATTGTCCATAAAGAAAAGGAAAAGAAATACATTAGCACCAACCTGAATGGAAAACAATTTTAAAGCTAAAACACATATGAGTTTGGCATCCTTAAAAGGCGCTTATCAGAAACAGAACCTGATCTTGACTGGTTTCCAATGTGTCTTTCATGTATTTTTTTCTCAATCCTCTATCTATCCAATAATATAAATTAAAAGAAAGAAATCTTTAAGAAAAATGTGTATCTGCCAACACATATATCAGCAGACATAATTCATTAGTTCATTCATCAATTACTTGAGAATTCTCTATATTGATGACAAAATGGATGGCTGGACATATCTTAGTAACCAAAAGTTTAAGATTATCCATGGTGGTTAAGACCTGGTAATTCCACTAACAAAGAGGAGTACCATCCCCCTGTTGTTTTTCCCAAAGAAATAAATGTAACGGAAGTTTACAGCTTCCTTTAATCACGGAATAAAAGTCAATGTTGTCAAATCAGTTATAGAGCAAAAAACTCAATATACACATATGACAAAACAGTATTCTTAAAGGGCTGTGTTCAAAAAAATGTTTTTTGTCCATAAAATGTTTCTCTTTGATGTTGAGGTATTCTCTTTTGAAGCTGTGCAAGTTTTAAATAGTGATCTATCTCCATCCCTCTTTCTACTAGAGGAGTAGAAAGACAGACAGGTAGGAAGAAATATAGCCACCAGATTTTTCTCAAGACACCACTGTTTGTTTTCTTGAAGAGACTAGTTTTACCCCCTTTAGTTCATTTCTTCAAATTGCTTAAGACAAGTTGTTTCGGACACTAAACAATACCTTCTCCTAACCATGTCACAACAGAAATGGTCAGAAAATGCCCTCTGTTGTTTTAAAAATGCTAAATTGACTTCAGAATGTGGAATGTTACTAGAAATGTTACTAATTAGATTGATCGAATGGTTTGAACATCTTTCCAACCTTGAAAACTTAATGGAAATAAGAAGGCATTTTGTATAATTGAACATTCGGTTATATAACATGAAAGAGATCATAGGGTCTTAGGCTTCTTGTCTTCTATCTTAACTATTGTTGCTGCAAGCCAATGATGAGCTGATGTCCCCTCTGGTGGTGAAAACCTATGCATAAAACTAGAAAATTTCCCACAAAATGGCATTAAGTCAGGAGGGAAATTATATTGTCCCATGAGCGGAAAGTGTGACTGCTCCTCACTGATAATGTTTCTCCTAATGCAACCCTTCCACTTCGAATAAGCCATTTGAAAACATCCTACCAACTCTTTTCTGTGCAAAATGCTCAGTCTAATACAGTTAGGTAACTTTTGAGCAAGTAGATGAAAAAAATACTCTCTTTATGGCAACTATATTTCACAGCTTTCTGAGATCTCAGATTTGGTCTGTGCATAAGACAAACATTTAGAAATGTAAAAAAAGATAAAGAAATCTAAATATAGACAAAACTTAGATCTAAATAGAACTACAAAAAATAGAAATGAATTAACACTATCAAATGTAACCAAATCTTGATTTTTATCTTAACTGATCATCACTATGTGCGTTATAGTCATCATATGAAAAAAGTCAAAAAGTAAGTACTGAAAAAATGGCTTAACTTTGATGCTTTACAATGACTGAACTGAAAGTGGAGTTTGGTTTATATTCTCTTCAATCATTCAGAACAGGAGTTAGTAAAAGGTCATCTTGACGGTTGGGACCAAGTTATTAGGATTTGAAGACTTGATTTCAAAAAAATTTGTTCAAAACAAATGTGATGAAAACTGAAATAAATCTTTTCTTAACATTCCTGGGACTAAAAAGGAAAAGCACTCAAAAGAATGGAAAACATCTTTCTGTTTCTAGAACATTGTAAAAAATGTCTGAAATGGGTTGGATCTTGGAAGGCAGGGATGGTCTCACATCAGCTCCGGAAGAGATTGTAGGAGTTGTTCTCATCCATTTTCAGGAGACATTATTTCAGCTGAGCCCTTCTTGGGACTTGTTATTTCTTCAGCAACCTGAGCTTTGGTGGGATGTACATACTCTTCGTCCTCAGCAACAGGGGCCGCCATTCCAGGAACCCCCTACCCCAAAGCAGTGCTATATGCCTCCGTCATTTTCCAAAAGCACCCATATTAACATTGCTGGAATTCAGTTTATTAAAAAAAAAAAAAAGTCTGCCCTTCTGGGTGCCTGCAGTCATAATCCTCCTTCTTACTTGGTCACAGGAGATACAGCGCAGGATGCTGACCTGGTCCTCTTCCCTTGTCTTCACTGCCAAGGGCAGCCCAAGGAAAACTGGCCGTGGCAACCAGCTGAACCCCTTGATATTTCAACCAAGGTGGCCCTGTGAGCCACAACACCGGAAGCTGTAGATCTGCAGTCGGGGACTGCAACTCCCTCAAAATACAAGACTGTTTGAGTGTGTGCTCTCCGCCACCTTATCTCTTTTTGGCAATCAGCCATGGTGTAACCCCCTTGAGATGACAAAAGAAATAAGAGCTCAGATGTGATCACAGGACTCATCAAGGGCATGCTAGCATCTGAAGGTGCACAACAAGGAGTGGGTGTGGCACACAGTCATGCTTTTTAGTCAGTTTCAGTGGGTGGTGTGGGCATCAATGCTAACAGTGAAGGAGAGGAGGGATGTGATGATAGACTCTAAAATCGGTCAGTATTGTAAGTACATTTTCATAGTTTTGAGTCCATATTTGGTCACAATTTCATGTAAACTACTTCATGGCACTTTTTGTCCATGCAATTAACAAGCCCAAAGTAAGAAAATAGCAAGAACAATCATTCTCTATTGCTGATATGTCCTTATCAATACACATCTCACATAAGATATAGAGACACTGATCTATACTTTTTGCAGGCTTCTCACTGGTTTCACATATTGCCCAATTTCAGATGTAAGTGAAGAAGAGATGGACATATGTTCTACTGCCAACAGGAAGCAGCTATATGTAAACATATCTCAGACTTGTAAAATCTGCAATTCAGTTTTCAACTATAAATATAAAAAGTGGACCGTTATATACACAACTTCATGCTCGGAAAGTTAGATTCATCACTGTAGAAAAACAAACAACAAAAAAGACAAATATATAGAATTAATGGTCTACGATAAAAATTCCAAATTAACATTTATTTTAAGAAAACTGGTAGAACCCCAAACAGAGTTTTGTTATGTTTGTTTTATCAATGAGCCAATTGATATGTGTCCTATACATTTTCTACAACTCCAGGGCATCATCAAAATTTCCACCACAGTTTCAAACCACATTTTTCTTTTGCTACTGAGAAGTTTGTGGTGTTTGTCTCACTAACTATTCTGGGAAAGCAGAAAATTAGGATTTTATCACATCTGTGCCATAATGAAAATACATGTCCTGTTTATAACTGACAAAATCTTCTCCAACCATTAAAACACGTGGTGGAAAAGGCTGAGGATTCTGACCTCAGTGGAACTGTTGGCATCTGACTCCTGGCTATAGTGCTCCACTCTCCTTCGGTTCTCGCTTCCTCTTTCCTGTGGGCAGCCCTGCCCTGCTGTGGATAGTATGCAGGTAAACCTGCCTGCCATCAGGTCTTCCAGCTGTATTTCAGGTTCCATTGCCATCTAAGGCACCGTAAGTCTCTGGCTCCTTGTTTTGAGCAGCTATAATTATTAAGATTTTCCCAGAACTGAAGTCTGACAGAACTGAGGGACAATGGTCTTTGAGGGACAAACTTAGAGATCTTGGAGATACTTTTACTCCAAAAAAAAAAAAAAGCCAATGAGAAAAGAATGTCCAGTTCATTAAATAAAAATATTTGCTTTTCTCTCTCCAAGAAAAATAGACGCTTTATTAGCTGAGCTTAAGAGGCCAGGTCCTTTGCCGTCTTTAGAGAAGATTGCTCATCGTTTACGCAAGTCGTGTCAAGGCAGAGAACGCGCTGGAAGGAAATACTCCTTTCTCCACACTCTCCCTTATCTCAGATTTCAAATAGATGAGTCTTTTGATTACCAATGTTTTGTAAATAATCTACAGAATTTTAAAGAGTTTTCTTTTTTAGATTTTAAAAATCTGTCACCTTACTTTAGGAAGTCCTGCTGCAAACCTGTCAGCCCTATCTGGAAAAATAAAGTTTAGTGAAACATTAAAAAATCTGAAGGCTTTGTGTACTTTCCCTATTAATAGTTTTTAATCTCTGGATAAGGATGGATGATAACTTTAATAGCTCATTTTTTCTTAACTATACCTTCTGCCATTTCCTTACTGTATGAATTACACTGTGAACTGGTACATCATTTTTCTTCAAAATTTAGAAAACTGAACTATATCTAGAAAGAGAAGTGATTTAAACAAAGATCAAATAGTTTTGCGTGAAAAAAATGCTTAGTGAGAGAAGCATGACCAAGAGACCTCGTTCATTAATCACAGTAATTTACACTGTGGCCACAACCTGAATTTTCAGTCAAACATTCACCACTGTGCCCAGAGGCTAACGCACCAAACGATATTTCGAAGGTACACATGAAACAGGATTAACTCAAAGTAATCTGCTGGCCTTCTTTTTAAAATATCATCTTAAAAATAATTTGATTTGACTAACAGCGTATTTGAGGCAGCTAAATTGACCACATAAGAGATTTCAGAACATTCATTTTTCTAATTGATTGTTTCTTCTTTTTGGGGGGTGGTTGGGGGAGGTTGATCACAACGATGTGCATTCGTGTGTGTTGGGCAGTGTGGTGAGCAACACTGAAGTTTTATCACTGAATTACTATTCTTTGTATAATAAGATGCTAGATTTAAGAGATCTTTAATCTTCCATAGAACATAGTATATATTCTGTGGAAAAATATGTGCTTTTTAAAGGAAATTTCTGATCTTCTGATGCTATTCACATTACTACTAGGTTCAGCCATTTCAGGAACCAAAAAGATGATGACTCCTTTGCTTGTTGCTGTTATTACTATGAACTCACAAAAAGAAGAGGACAAAAATGGTGTGAACCCAGGTTCTGAGAGTGTCAGAGGTTGGCTAAAGTAAGCTGTTCCCATCTCCCTCTATGAGAGTGTGCCAACGACTGTATTAAAAAGTCATTATAGTATTAGATCACAGGCCAAGGGTTACAGCGTAGACGGTAATTCCAGCTCAGGATAGTATTAAAAATCCTGAGAAGAGGGGTTATGCTGGTGAAAGGATAGTTTTCTCAGGTGAAGGAGAATATGATGCTAGGCTCCTCTTCCTGAGAACCGCTTGACCTCACATGTGATGGAGCTAATTAGCTGACAGGCTGAAAGTGGAGTATGGGAAGCTGTAAATAAATGACGCTACTGAGAGGGAAGGCTTTTCTTTCCCCAGCCAAGTGGTGGGAAAGTAGTTAAGTAAGAGAGCAAGGATCTCCTTGCCAACGGAGTTGGTGAGACCAGATGCAGCTAAGGGAGTCCAGTTTCTCCTCATCTTTCTGCGCCTACGTAGTTTTGCCAATGAAGCGTGCCTGATAAAAGTGACTGGATCAGCCACGAGGTGTTAGAGAAAAAAAATCAAAATGATGAAAGCAGCATGTATACTCCCCCTAGCTCATTTTTACATGAGAACATTTCCTTTATCCTTCAGTAGCAGAGACCACATGCACAGTCCTTTATAAGCAGGTTCGCACAACTCTGGTGTGACGGATAGGTCTTCTCTTCGGCAGCACAGCACATACAGATCTCTTCTCTGCTTCAAGTTCTGCCGTTGTTCTTCCTCATCTGTTTCTCCTAGTTCTGTGATACACTTGCCCTGTGCCCTTGGGAGTTCCTTAACCTCTCTGAATTTCAGTTTCCTCATCGGCACCATTGAGGATAGCAATACCCCAGAGGGTTATTATGAGATTAAACAAATCATATTCCGTATACGAAAGGGATCATCACACAGCCTTCGTTCACAGGTTCTCCGGGAAGGATGAGTGCTCTCCCTACTGAATACAGACACAGGGACTATGGGCAGCCACATGCAGAGGCTACAAGAAAGTGACATCATAAAGGACGCCAACTTAAATATAACAAGATTCTCCCAAATAAATCAAGACATCATTGAAGAAAAAAAGTCATGCTTACATTTTCTGCTTTCTCAGCTTTGTGATTACTATTGACAGGGTTCTACCATGTATTTGCATGTTTGCCTAAGTAATTGACTATCACTAGAAAAAGAATCACAAGGAAGAATAGTTTTAAAGAGTAGGGGGACAGGGAGTTTATTGAGAGACAAGCAAACCATTACTAAGATGCACTGACCCTTTCCATTCCAGACAGGATTAGGTAGGGAGGTTCCAAATGACAGTGTTTGCTACGAACTGTTTTCACTCATCAGTTTAGGAAGAAATCAGCAGTAAACACATTAATCGAAAGATATTCTGGAGATGAAATCTTTTGCTTTTTAATACCCAAACAATTTTCAGGAATGTCAAATTCAAAAGGTCTGTTGTAAATGGAAAAGGCCAGGCCAGGTGAGGAGAAAGGGAGAGCGCTTCTTTTAGAAAGAACTCTATAAAGCCTACCTTTTGCCAACAGCCAGGCATGGGTAACCCATCTGGCCCCTGGTTCAAAGAGGAGAATAAGAATTCCTTAGGCTCCACGACAGTGATCATACTTCATAATTCACATGCTCAGAGGCCTAACAAATGGACTTCTACCCACTAGGCATCTTTTTCTAATTATCAACTCCCAATAGAATGCCCAACATTAGTTAAAATGAAGAAAATTTAAATGTTTTCCAGAGTGAGCACACCTTTTGAAAATACATAAAGTATAGAAAAAAATTATGCCTAACTTTGAAATAGTAATTTACAAAGCATTGTGGTCTACTCAGTTCCACCTTTAGATAGTAAATCTGTACTGGTCCTCTTAATTTCATTAAAACACATTCCACAATTATCTTTACTAAACAAACTGAAACAACATCTCTTCCTGGTCACTGTGGCCTGTGGTTGAAGGCACGATAATGATAAATAATCAATGATGAGCCATTTCTATCTGAAGTTTATAGCTCTTCACATGCCAGTATCTTTCCTCTTTCTATACTGAAAGCAGATTTGGTAGAACATATTCAATTAATTGAATTCAAAGATAGGCAGGCCTCTTTACATCTTTACAGTAAAATGTTATCCATAGCATTCATCAATTTTTCTATTAAAATTCTTCAGAAGCCAGTTAACAAATTATGAATAACCAAGAGATTCCTAAATCTTGCAAAATTTATTTTCATTTACAGTGAGCTCTCTTCAGATACAAATGGTACGAATGAAGCAGGAAGAGTCGCTATATTACGAGGCATGCTTATGCTCCCCCTCAACAAAACGATTGTAAAATATTACTTATTATCAATACCAGGCAAACAAAATAAAACACTGGGCACTTCATACTGAGATTTTCTAATTGTAATTATTGACTGAATAAATTTTTCTATAAATATAATCTCTTAAAAGACTCGAGAAACATAAATTCATCTTTAAAGAATCATGCTTAGCACTGAAGAATAATATAACATGCAGACCAAGTATAACCATCAACACAGCCATAGAAAGTTTTCCGTTATGTGAAAGACATATGAAATATGAAATTTCCTTTATATGAAATGAAAATATGAATATACTTTCTTTTTAAATGTAAAAAAGAAAACACTTTGAAATAGCTTCATAATATATTTGGGAAGAAATTCGGTAATGCCAGATTGGTACAAGGAGAAGGAACACCCAATAGAATTTTAGATTTTAGTATAAGGAGGATTTTGAGTTCATGCCAATGGAGACAGGGGTTCTGTCTACTTTAGGAGAGTGAGTTTCAAAAGGAGAGACCATTAAATTGAGAGGGTTACGTGATACAGAAGAGGGTTTGGGCTGCAGACTCATCATCTTTAGAAGCTCAGGGAAGTTTGGCTTGCTTCTCTACGGGTCTCTTAACAGCATTCCTTTGAATTGTTAACTCTTGACCACAGAGGCTTGACTCTCTAGGTTTGGCTTTATTTACAGCCTGACAGAAATTCAGCAGAAGAGGCAAAACGCCTTTATATCTTTTAGAGAAAAATTTTTAAAAAGTTTAACTTAGGAGTAAAATCCAAAGTAATGGCCTAGCTGTGCCTTTACATGGGAGATATTTATGTGATTTTAACGTAATCTTTAAATATTGATTAAGTGAATATTCCCCAGAACGCAGACGTGGTGGTCGTGACGGTGGTGAGAACAGTGTCAGGAGATTAGTTGGCAGGCAGTGGCAGAAATGCGTGCTTGCTCTCTTCACTGCAGGGCGCTGAAGGAGCATCCATGCACATGCATGTCATGTGTTCGTCATGTAAAGCCCGCTCCAGAAGCAGCACTTTACACTGATCGAGATGAAGACGTAATAAACAAAGGAACTGCATGCAGGGTGGTAGGAAAGAGAAATACTGTACCAATTGGCAAGGGGCATCCAGCCCATCCAGGCCAGGCTGGCCTGGCTCCCCTTTTTCCCCCTTAACGCCACGGAATCCCTGTTTGTAAAGATTAACTCATAAAGTTACTAATACAAGAAATCACTTATCCACAAATACTGCTAAAGAAATAACCACAGTAACAGAAGGCTGGGGGAGGCGCAACTCTGGAGGGAAAAGTAACACGCAGTGAAGTTGGACAAAATAAAACAGAACGGACGTATCCCATAACTAGGGCTTGTCTGCAACGGCAACCCGCTCTTTCGAGCCCTATGGAACAGTGCAGCTTCCTCTCCGGCTGCTCCACTCACATTCTAGGTGGGCGTCAACACTTGAGTCTTAAGAACAGGCAGAGCGGTGGCCAGACAAGGTGTGACATAGCCGGACAACCTGAGAGAGATGTTTCTGGCATCTTGAAGTGTAAGTTAAATGGCCCCGGTCAGAAGCCCTGCTGTGGGGTCCCTCCAGCTTGCTCCTCTCCCAGCTCATCCCTTCACACGTGACGTCAGGAGCCAGGCTCCAACGCAGACGTACCAACGGGCAAGGCGCATCTAGTCCAGGGGCCCCCTGCTCTCCTTTCTCCCCTTTAGGCCCCTTTTTGCCTTTCTTTCCCTTTTCCCCCTGTGGATGCAAGGGTTTAAATGAAACACAGGTTTTATTGGAGGGGGAAATAATGGTGATTCAAAAAGATGGTTTAGGCAACAAAAGTCTGGAAGGGCATTTACCACTATTTTCTGGTTTAGGTAAGGCATGATATTATAAAAAAAATCACATACTTCCAGAGTGACAATGGATTCTGGGCAGTAATATGTGGGATTTTATTTAAGATACTCAAGATGAAAGACAGAGAGCTAAAAGGCCGACACATCAGAAAGGAGAGTCAAGGCTGACTTGGACCCCAGGCTCGTAGTCCTTGTGAATGAGGTGTTTCTGCCACGGATCTGGTGCGGATAACGGTACCAAGTGTATGGAAGCCAGCCCACAGCCGGTGAAGTTCAGAGGAATAACGGATACCTCACCCAATTTTCAATACCTGTCTACTTGCTTTTTTTCTAATCCTATAACAGATGAAAGCTACATTGAGCCAGAGGAAAAGGAAAGAATATGAACAGCTTCTATCTTTTTGAAATAAATCCAATTTTATGACATTGTTTTTTTGTAGCTCTCATTAAAAAATATTCAAAGTATTAAAAATACACCTCTATTTCTTTTAAAATTGTTTTTTAGGAAACTAAAAGCAAATACTTTCCTTATTAAGTCAGGTAAATAAATTTAAGAAGTGCTAACACTTCTCAGCATTGCCAATTGGAGAAACAGACATGTATAAACCCAGGGATCATCTTTAATTCACTTTTACTGATCTCATGCCAGGTGTTCACAATGGTAAATGGGTTTCCAGCTTACTCACAATGTAACAAAAGCCAAAAAAAAAAGAAATTCTGCTCAAGAGAGGAAAAGCAGTTTGGACTCAGTTGAGCTAATACTAAAAATGAGGTAGGCAGGATAATTACACAGTGGGAATGTAGCCATGGAAATTAGTATTTAGGAATCAAGGTAAAGGTTGTGGAAATCTGCACGGATCATAGGGATGGAGGAATTAAGGAAAGGAGGCAAAAGGAGGAGAAGGAAGGAATGCACCTCAGCTGTTTCACATTAACGTCAGTCTCTGCATATTTATAGACAAAAAGTTGGTGCCAGGACAGAATACAAAATACTATACAATACATATTTAAATTAGTATATTCATTCTGCAATCAGGATGGCAGTTACGATAAAAACAAAAAATTTCAGAACTAAGACAACACAAATATTCAAAGGTGAAAAGACATACACGTAACAGAAATATACGAGAGAAACATTCACACTAATGCATTCGTTCTGACTGCGTGAGTGAAAGCTCCCCGTTTATCTCCTGTGTGCCAAAAAGATTGCATCAGAAGGCTCAGAATCAAAAACACTTGGGTTTCTTTAATATTGGGGGAAGAGAGAAATTCTGTGTGGTTTAGTTGATCATGATCTGAGAAGCCAGGGTGAAAAGGGAGCAGGTGTGATGGGAAGAAAGATGGGAGGAGCAGTCAGAAGTCAATTGCTCACTCCTGCAAGATGAATCAACAGCCTCTCCCGGCAAATACCTTCAGTGCCATGACAGCAAACTGATTTCAACTTGTTTGGGTGAGCTCTTTCCTCCAGAAGGCAGTAGACTGTTCTTCACATGGGTGTGACTGACACCAGGTGGGCTGGGTATTATTAACTTAGAATTCAATTCCTTATTTGATTGGTAAATCAACTCAGATTAATCACGCAATAGAAGAGTGTTGTCATATGGACATTGACTGTATCAGGCCACGGGGATCATTTTTCAGCAATATTTTAGTGAACCTCAAGCTTTATGGAAAACAGACACTATTGTACAAAGAATAACATATCAGTGTTACTATTAATCAACATAGTTTTCTAACAGTTAGTGATTCCCACGAAACCATCTATCCTTGTGGGTAGGAGCACATGGGGGCTCTTGCTAATTTTTCTCTCTCATGTCAAAGAATGATATACATAAGTGTTCACATTTAGATCTAATTTTCCTAATATAAAACTTCTAATCATGGAATCTTAAATTTAGCAATATTTTGGTAGGTATGGGTGGTTAACATTATTCTGAGGATTAAATTTGTAGCTTTACATTTTTATGTTATAATACTAGTAATCTCTTTGTTTAAAAGATTATTAAAACGAATATCCTCATAATGGTGACATACTTTTGAGTGAATGAGATTTGGACTCAGACAAGCCATTAGGTAAATATAAAATAAATGCCTATAATCTTTAGAGCACACACACCTTGGGCTAAAAGCTTGCATGTACAATTTATCTCAAACGTGTATTTTATAGTTAGAATTTATAACTCAGAATAAAAGAACTTTCATGCCTCAGTTTCCCTGTCTGTGAAACGGGGCCAAGAATGGCACCAACCTCAGGGGGGTGTTATGAGGATTAAAAGACTTATGTAAAGCTTTAGGGAAAACACATAATCAGCGCTCAGTTAAGTGTGATGACATGGACGATGCTGATGCTAGAGCTGTCACATAACCGCTCACAGGAGCTCCCTTACCAGTGGGCGGCTAAATGATGCTTGAGGTCTGAGGAATACACAGCAGGCTGAATACACCCTTTCTCTGACAACTCTCATTTGGCCTTGCTTTTTAACAGCTATGAACTTTGCTGTTCAAGAGAATTTATAGGGTTTTGAAACAGTTGTGAAGTATAGAGCAGGACAAGAATTAACCTGAGAAATAGAAGCGGCTTAAATCTGCACTGGGAAAGTGTCATTGCAGCCACTCTCAGGTTCTCACTGTTCTGTTGAGGTGCTGAGATTTTCTTGCCACTTTTGCTGTGTCCAGAGTAAAAAATTACCTTCAAAGACCCAAGCAAAGGGGAGAAGAAAGGAAAAAATGATTTTAAAAATCCATAGTCCAAATTTTGCTTTTAGACATAAAACCATTTTGTCTGATATTGGTTCCCACATGCCCTGCAGCTGATGGTCCTGAGATAGAATGCAAACACCAACTGCATAAAATACACCAGTATCTTCATTTAAAAATATCCACACCATCTGAAGGCGGCAAGTTCTGGTCCCTGTGTGATGGACTCCCTGGGGTCTATCAGTCACACTGCTTCTCCTCCATTTTACAATAAAAAAAACGAGATACAGGACATCTCTTCTGTAAGTCTACTGAGCATGCTCTGAAGATAAACAACAGGCTGGCTGCACAGGATCAGGGAGCTCTGCCGGAGACCAGGGCGGGGTGGTGCTGCTTAATTTTACCTTAATGTAATAAACGGCTTTTTTTTTTTTTCATTTTCAACAGTCCCTGGACATTACGTCTTTCAACAAATTGGTGTTGAGTCGTCGAAAGAGTGTAGCCTGGCTATGTGGGGAGTGTAACTGTTTTCTTCTATGCAGGACAGTGCCCTACGTGCAGCAGTGTAGGCTTCTCCCTCCCTCTGTGAAGACCTGACTCCTCAGATCAGGCATCAGAGTGTTTTTGGAGCACAGGATGGAGAAAGACTACGCGTGTGAAAGAATCGCACAGGCTGACAGCAAAGCAGACAGCATGAGAAAATCAACCAAGACAGGCAAGACAGACAGGTCACCTTTTCTCCCTTTTCTCCTAAATCACCCTTCTCGCCTCGTGGACCAGGGAAGCCCTAAAGGATAAAAGCAAACCAAAAAGATCCACTGATGTAACTGCGGCAAAACTGTATTGGAAAAGAAATTTCAGGTTTCATGTTTCCGAACACAAATATAAACAAAGATGGCAGGCCCAACAATTTCAAAACTTAGGTAAATTAGCACTTAGAAATATCGTTTTCTAACATCTCAGTTGTCTACATACTACAGGTTTCTTGCTTTTTCTCCTTAGAAATGTATAGTGGAGAGAATTTCAGAATCCCAGTTTGAATCCTGGCAAGTTCACCGATTTGTGTGGCTTTGGGCAAAACACTTACTCTCAGCCTTTTAGTGCCTTGAGTATAAAATGGGGTTAATGACATCTACCACACGACTGTTAGCGTGAGTGTTGACTGTGATGACGTACATAAAGTACAAGAATGGTGCCTGTGCACAACAGGTGCTCAATAAACAGTGACCACTATTACTTCTGCATTGTTATTCTTCACATAGTACAGGATGAGCAGTGATTATTCAAGAGGCACTGACTTCTGACATTCTTTATTTTTAAAGAATTATGTTACTACAAGATACAGGGACTTTATGCTAAAAGAAAAAGTATTGCATAACAGCTTTGAGAACAGACATAATATACCACTCCCTAAGGGCAGCATGTGAAATATATTTCCATTTTATGCATATTTTAACATAAGTGGTTCAACTGCAGATGTTAAGATTGTCCTTAATTTGGGAAAGTATTTTTGAAGTGCCACTACAACTGTCAGTTATAAATTTTATAGCAGACAATTGCGGTTTTTTCTATTTATCTCATGCAAACACTAGTATTTTCTCTTGCTGTCTACATGCACGGCAATGTATGCTGTATGCATAACTATGTGCACAGAAAAAGAATGCTGTTGTTGATGATGGAGACCATCAGCATCCACTGTAATAGGAAGATGTTTATTGTCCATACTACTTACATCGAGACCAGGCTCTCCATCTTTCCCCTGCCAAAGAACCACAGTAGCTACATTAGTGTTCCTAAGTTTCATGAATCGGTTACTGTTTTATTTAAGGCTCCCTGGACATGCAACACCAGTATTAGAGCAACTACTTCAGAGACGTCCAAAGGATTCTCTACTGATTAGTGACACCGACTTCTCTCACTGAATCAACCGAAGTGACTATTAGTGCTGCAGTTCAGGTCATGAAAAGTTTTTATTACATTTTCGGTTAAATAGCCTGTTATTTTGCTGAAGTTTAATGCTTGGTATCCACGTTATCAATCCAGGGATAAGTTGAAAGCAAAAATACTGTTTAGTTGACTTAGAAACACACCAGCACTAATAGAGTATGCAAATCCATGTTAATTTGATAACTTAGTAGTTAGCTCATAAATGAGCAGAGAATGTGAAAACTGTTATGGTTAAATATGGTTTTAATTTGGCTAGCTGTGTACCTAGTCTATGAATATCGAGGGCGTGAAGGTCACCACTCAAAAACCGTGTTTAGGTAAGCTTTGTCAATGAACGACCCCAAACATAAAAAGAGTCATAAGACTGTTGTTATGCAAGGATGATAATTCGCCCATCATGGTGCAGGTTATGAGGGCAATGACCCTACTGTGTCACAGGACGGATCCACCCAAAGTGACTTTGATTCCATCAATTTGATTTTGAAACCTATTTCAAAATCAGCATGCCTTGCAGCACTGACGTCATCATGGTTTAGGGTTATTATTGCAGTTTCTATGGGCTGGAAGGTACAGGTGTGTAGAAGGTACATGAGGGTTGAAAACCTTCACACCGTATATGCTTCTGCTGCTGTCCTACCCCGCCCCATTGAAGCACCTGCAATTACCCCAAAGCTAATGTTCTGAAGTAAACCTGGGCCTCAATTTGAAGTAACCGAGAATTTTCAGAAGACAAAGACGATAAACATTCTATGTTCTGAAGATCGTTTGTCACCACAGTAACTTAGAGAGGTCGGACATCAAAGTCATTGTAAACATCAACTTGAGAAATAAATTCTATTAGCAAGAGTGGTTTCAGCATTAACCTACTCAAATAGATAAAGCCTGAAGAAAGTGGTTTTGGATAAAGCTTTCACACCCACTTTTGGGACAGCGACCTTCCAACGAAGTGAGAGTTATAGGCGTCCAGTCAGATGGCAGAGGAAGGCATCATCTGACAGGTGGAATCGCCTTTAGGGTAGTACTTTTTGCCTTCTGGACAGTCTCGGATCCTCTCAACCTCGTGAAGGGCACGGGTGTGTGTCCGTATGTAGGTGGCAGAGGACGTGAGCATGCCCTGCCTCTGAAGCACACGTAACACTAGCGTTGCGGGGAATCAGTGGGTTGATCTTTGTTCCTCTAGTGTGATTAGTGTGCCCCTCAAGGGATGGGTTAACCATGCCAGTACCAGGTCATCTATGCATGCAGAAGGGGACCGCGCCCGAGACAGAGAACTCACAGGCAGACCGTAGGGCCCTCTGGGTCCAGCCTCTCCCATAGCTCCTTTTTCACCCTAAAAGGAAAGGTGGAAAGTTCAATGACACACAAACACCTATATTTACACACTTTCTCTAGTGGCCTGTGTGTACAGCCTCTGTTTGAAGAACCACTCCATCAAAGTTTCAAAGATTCAGGCGCTCCCGGGGCACTAACACACACATCAGCATGTTTGACCAAATCATCTTTGAATACCGTCAGCAGGTAAGGCTGCCGCCGCCCACGTGCGCAGAAGATGGACCATCTCTGGGAGGCTGTCCTTGGGTTTCTTTGGCATTAGTGTGAAACATTCATTTGTCACTGTCTTAAGTTACTACTTTTTAAAAAATGTACGAATAAAATGCCTTTTTATCCTATCAAATGTCTCACCTTGGCCACCCCGCCCTTCATGAGCTGTCATTACGTCACAGCATTCACGGTGGGAGACACAGGTGTACTCTGACCTGGGTATAATCTGCTGAGCCCTCTCTCGGATGTCACCATTAGGGTGCCAGGGCCTCTGGCTTTGTCCCCCACTGCACCCCCATGGCTTATGACAGTGTCTGGCACATCAGTAAATATTTGTTGAATTAACAAATCAATACACTCATGGATGTGCTTTGCTTTCTTTCTGAAAAAGGGGATTTAAAAACTTATGCCTTCTACTAAATGCCTGGTAAGGTAGGTATATAATACCTTTAAATAGAATAGCTTGTGCTGGCTTAAACGACCATCTCGAATGCTTATAAAGAACAAGTGCAATTGGAGGTGGTCCATGAATATGAAATAATTGTGTCCATAAAGAAAGAGACGTCCTGCTTTTCAAGTAGAGTTTTCTCCTGCTGCCATCTCCAAAATTAAAGGTTCGTCAGAATTTAGCCTGAAGCTTCAGAAGTCACAGTGATGTTTACATAAGTGGCCAAACAGACAATGTCGCTTCTTTTATGACACCCACGCCTGAGGCAGTTTAAAGATTAACAAATGTTTTTCATGGGTGAAATGCCAGGGTCAGCTGATAAGTGTGCCTGCAGTCCAGGGTTGCACTGTGTTTCCCTGTGCTCCAGGTTCCCACGTGAGCAGACTTCCAGTCACTGGCGGCTTTCTTCTTCACCTTGCACTTAGGCGTGGTGCAGCTAGGTAGCACTGTCACCCAGGGGCACACACAGGACAGAAAGATTTCTTAGGACAAAGCTTGTTCAACTTTTACTCATTATTAGTTTATGTTCATTACTGAAAGAGCAGCAATTGCACTCAGTAAAGTGGCCAGGCTTTGAAATGAAACCGATTTCAATCTGAATTCCAGTTCTCCAGTTCTGGCACTTACGGGCTGTGTGGCCTTGGGCAACTTTCTTAACTTTTCTATGCCTGAGTTTCATTGGATCTAAAATAACAAAAATAATACATATTCTGGAAGAATTTTTCTGAAGATTAAATGTGATGATAAAATATGAAATGTTGCCGAGAAATATGTCCCATGAATAGTAGTTATCAGTATTATTATACAATTAGAAGACTTGTTTTGAATTAAAGACTTAGCAACTCAAAGACTACTAACTCAAAATAAATTTCTTTCAGTTTGATTCGGCAGTGTTACTTAGGAGTTTTAAAATGGTGATGATGGTGGGTGTGGGGGGGTGTGTGTGTGTGTAGTAGGAGGTGGGGGTTTAAAAGGAGGGTTCATGTAACTTGGAGTAGGTCTAGTTTGAAAAAACTCAACAGATTAGAGTAGATTTAGTTGGAAAAATCTCCGCACACTAGTTTGATATACCTACTTCCTGCTCCCGCCTCCAATTGGATAGTTCAGCTTTATTTTGCTTTCAAAATGACTATTTCACGGCTTATTTGAATCAAGCTGTCACTGAAAGCTTTGTCTGTGAACTCCTGTGATAGAACTGCCCGCTCCACATGATGACTTGAAGCTAACGATGACAATTCCACGTCGCTCGTCAGCGGCTGCTTCAGGAGGGACACGTGGCCGGTTCCGGCCCTCGCACTGCCCGCTGGGAAGCCCTGGGGAAGCTGCCTCACGGTGAAGCGCGGGATGATCTCCACGTGTGTTTGGCGGCCTCCCTGGAGGGAGGTTTGGAACCGCTGTCACCAGCTTGCCTGTGGTCAGAAGACAAAGCCAGCACGTGGAAAGGGCACAGAAGCAAAGCCTAGAGTCTTCCTTTGAACATTTTGTTATGCAAAACAAGAAGGTTCTTTATTGTCTAAGCCATTTCGAGTTGGGGTTCTGTCACCTAAAGCCAAAAGCATCCTAATGGTCCCAGCTTGAAAGCTTTTAGGAATGAAATATTAGCACAGGGATGTGAATGTGCAACTTCTTTCCCTGGATTAAGTAGTTCCAAAAGAACTCTTGAAGCTCTCAAATGTAACCGCCTCGACAGAGTGCCTAAGCAGTTACCAGGCCAGATGAAGAGCTCCACTGAAGGCAGGGACGGGCAGGTGCGGGAAGAACAGAACGCTAATGCTGTCCATCATGGATTGGACAACTTCTGAAGCACATTGTCTGTCAAATGCCTGGTTTCTTTTAGGCTGGTCTAATTTCATTCGGGCTCTTCAATTTGCGTGTCTACACTGAGAAATTATTCTAGAAGGCCCTCTTGCCTGATTCCTCCCTCTTCAAAATGTGAAACTTTTCAAGAGAGTCCAGATGGCACCTCCATCAATTAACATTGAGAATCGCACTCCAGTTTAGCTCTTTGGGTGCGGGGCACTTGGAGAGTGCTGACATACGATCCAGTTAAGATGGTTAACGTGCTGAGTAAATACAAGTGTAACACTTCACACTGCACACCAGTTGACTTCAACTATGCCTTCAAAAATGCTTCGCGATTTCATTTGCTCTCCTGGGTAATTCTGCCCCAGTGCTGGGAACTGATACTCTTGTGACAGTGTGGAGCTATCGGAAGTAGCAGCTGATTTACCAAACGGTAAGCCCTCTTGAGCCCCAGGGCATTCTGCCAAAAGACTACTTGAGATTGGCCGCCCCATTTTTAGTACACGTACTGGGTTTCTTGATAGAATGCTTGTATGCATCAGCAGTGTGAAGGTCTCAGCTTTTAAATATTTTTAATTAAGATGATCTTCATACATTGTTGGTTTGATCTTAGAAATAAGACAATTGCAGATTCAGATTATTTATTCCTTTAGGCCTCATCTCTTTCTAGAAGCAGTCTTGGATGAAGCTGGCATTCTTCATCATTGTATGTACAGCCTGCCCTATTTGTATTCACTTTGGCCTCATCATCTGGTTATTTCTTGCAGATAGGTTTTTCCTCTGTAATTAGATTGTAAACTCTTCTAGATCAGGGAAAACAGCCGCATCCTTGACAGTATTGAGTAAATATATACAGTGTATTTATAAAAGGTTTAGTATGACGAATCAATTATGATGGTACTATTCAATTCACTGGAGCAAATTAGCAAAATAGACTTTCCATAAATGGGAGGAGAGTGTTTCTGTTTCACACTAGGAGTACGCCGTGTTTTGTATATTGTAATGTGTGGTAAATATTTACTGAATGAATTCACTTTATAGAACATGCAATTATGTACACTGTAGAAATGGTGCACATTTCTTTGGGATGTACAACAAAGAAATCACTATGTGGCCCTCTATTTTAAAACAAATTATCCCAGACTGAGGAAACTCTATGTAGTTTTAAAAGACCACAAACTTGCATGAGGAACCCTTCCAGCATTTGGAAACCCTCAGTGTTAGGACTTTCTTTACATCCCATCCTGGATGATGGGGAAATTGATGACACAATTCCACTCATACACACACAAAAACTAGGTTTCCCAAGGTGAGGAAAAGAAAAAGTGGGAGAAAAACAGAGAAAGAGGGAGAGAAGTTCCAGACAGATGACCAGCTGCTGATGCTGCCGTTCATCTTTCTGTGTCAGATATTTGTCCTCCACTCTGAATGTCTTTTTTTTTTTTCCCAAGGATGTGGAAACACTGCCCAGCAATAGAGAGGTTAGTGAAAGGTTTTTGTTTTATAATGCACTGAAATTATTTCCTTATGGTGAAGAAAGACAGGCTATTCTTTTCCTTAAAAAAAAAAAAAGGAGCACGTGTAACGGTGCAGAGGAGAATACTTAGGTTTTGTAATTTCCTTTAAAAAAAGTTATAACTTACTCTGAATGAATACGGTAGCTTTATACAAAAAATTATCAACCAGAATATGTAGTCCTGGAAATTTTTGGCTTATTGACTTCAACTTTCTGGATGAAGGCCAAATGAAAATATCTTCCTTATGGGTTAAGAAGAAGAGGTCTGAGCTATGTATTTTAGCGATGTAAATGTATGCATTGTTTTTTATTAAGGAAGCCATATTCTATTTTAATACTCTATTGTTTTCTTCTCTCAGTTTGAGAACTCTGAAAAGGGCTTAGGATGGTATCTATTTTCATTTAACGTTAGATGGTCCTTTATTTCTTCTGGAAAACGAACAGTTCAGTTCAACTAAAATGGAAAAGTCACACACTGTGTTTTCTTTAGGTCACGGGTTAATAACCTCAGTAGCAACTTACTCTTTCTCCTTTGGGACCCGCAGGGCCATGGGGTCCCATAGGGCCATCTGTACCCTACAAAAAAAAGATAAAGATAAGATAATATGAGACATGTTCCATGGGCTGTAAGCAAAGCAGTTATAGTTTATCCTGGACTTTCCCTGGGTGAGTGATGGCTTAGGACGTCAGTCAGACAGCGCATCTCCTTTCAAAGGGTTTTCTGCTTGATTCTTTCAGGCCAGTAGCTTTCAAGAAACTCCTGCAAAAGGGAGGAATTACATAACTGCGTATTTCAGTGAAGGGCACGCACAGAAAGCTGTATTTCATATTTAATTATCTATTTCCTCCCTGACTCCATGGAACATCTTCACTCTGCCCCCAGAGTCGGAAGAAGAAACATCTAATTGCTTTCCTTCACATCACCTCTTCTTCAGGTCCCTTCCCCAGCCCCACTCTCCTTGGCCCTGAGTGCTCTGAAGCCTTGCTTTCAGCTATTTAAGAGGCTTGGACAGTTCTACAAGTGAAAAAATATTAAATAAATGAGAACGGTGTTTAACTGTTCAAACCAAACTTTCTTGGGCTCTGTTGGGAGCAGCAGGGCCTAGTGGGAAGGAATTCGTCTATAGGTCCTGCCACAGTGGCTGAAGTCGCCGGGCTTAGAAGGCTCGAACCAGGCAGCTGGATGATTTAAGGGCAGAAGTGCCCTCTGGCCTCCCGGCTCAGGAATTTCTGTGGCAGACGAGGTAATATCTGAATGAGTATAGGAACACAGGTCCAGTGGAGATGACGACTGCCTGAAGCAGGTTTTTAGAATTGAAGAGATTGGAATTTCTTTTTGATTCTTAAAAATGTAGCAAGAACGCCAAGTATACTTGCTCATTTCCAAGAAGACTATGCTTAGATTTGCAAAGAATTTATTATAATATTTGCCAACATAGGAACTATTCTGGCACAATTTTAAAATAACATTCCTATTTCTGTTCCACTACTCTTATTTATTCTATGGGAGACTTGTGATATGAAATAATTCAGGGTTTTAAACTCATTCTAATGTTGGTGAATCTTATCATCTTAACTGATCTTTCTCTTCTGTCTGAACACAAAACTCTTCAGGAGACTTCTAAATACTGAGTATCTGTGGCTGAAATTTAAGAGATGGAGCTGTTAAGAACCAAAGCAAAGAGACAAAATGACAGAAGACAGACAACTCATTTTCATGAATAGAGATTTGAAAGTTAGGTTCAAGGAAGAAGTTACATTTCTAACATGGACATAAACATAAAAGGGAAAGCAAGTCACAATAAATTCACATTATTTTAATCCCTTTGAGAGTCTCTCTCACGGAATTACAGGAAACGTCCACTGGGTATGGAGAAACTTGTCTGGGATTCTAAGACAATGAAGCCAATTAGATTGGTCATTCCTCCCACCCAGCAAGTTATCCCGACCAGAACCCGGGCTGCAGAAAGATGTTCTGCCCTTCAGGCTGCACGCCAATCAGAGCTGCGGCCATGCTCTGTCCACTCTCCCTTCTCTGCCACTCTCATTGTCCACCTTCTCCTTTCACTCCAGTCCTGTGGACCCCTCCTCATTTGATGGCAGGAGGATCTGTCCTGACACACAAAATTCATAGCCACCAAACACGTTGGAACAAGACGAGGGACTGACTCACCCGGGATCCTGGCTTTCCGTCTAAGCCAGATGCTCCCTGTGGGATTTGGTTGGTAGCAGGGTTGGTGGGTGTAACACGAATGACAAGAACAGAGATTAGTATGAGGAACCGATGAACAAATGTAACACTTCAAACAACATAATACGCAGTCACAGGGTTCTGGGAGGAATATCACATTGCTACAAATTGTTAGTTAAAAAAACAACACACAACAATAAACACCCCATGGATGATGGCATTTTAACGGTATTACCATTTGACAAATTCGTACTTAGAAATCAAGCTAATGAGGTTTATAAAGTGGGCTTTAAAGTATTTCCTGGTAACAGTGACAGGCTGCTGATTTCCATATGAAATTCCTTTTCTAAAGACTGTACTATTCCTACTACATTTCTTTACATTCTGAAGAAAAAATAATGGCCAATCTCTCTAGGAAGGGCTCATTATAATAATCAATCAAGGTTAACATTTCAGAGGAGGAGAAAACAGCTCTAGTTTTGCTTGTTAAAACAGCATTTGCGGGGGCTGGCCCTGTGGCCGAGTGGTTAAGTTTGCACGCTCCGCTGCAGGCGGCCCAGTGTTTCGTTGGTTTGACTCCTGGGCGTGGACATGGCACTGCTCTTTGAACCACACTGAGGCAGCATCCCACATGCCACAACTAGAAGGACCCACAACGAAGAATATACAACTATGTACCCGGGGCGAGGGGGGCTTTGGGGAGAAAAAGGAAAAAAATAAAATAAAAAAAAAGTAGCATTTGCGAATAACAAATACAGAATTTTAACACACTAGGATGACTCTGTGGATTTACATGAAAAATACTCATTGTTTCCTGGGTTGTTCTTACTGTGTTCACATCAGTCACCGCTAGAGGGACTACTAGGAACAGGAAAAAGCCAGAAAAATGTCATGAGTCCAGACGAAAACTACCTGTCCCACATGAAATTGTTCCTCAATTCACTTCAAATAACCACCGCATCCAAGTCTGCATGGGAAATGTTTTAAAAATCTAATGCGCTTCCCAGGCAATGCGTCCTGTCCTTTACCTCGAACTTGAGGCCACGTGTAGCGTATGATTAAAAGATGACATTTTCAAAACTTGTCTCAAGAATAAGCACAATTAATTCTCTGATAGGGCTTTTGTATCTCCAAAAAATACAGATTTATAGTCCTTTAAAAATATTGATTAGATCAAGGAGTAAAGACAGACAACGCACTAGCCCTATAAATTCTCTTGGCTGGGCTGCAGAACTATTTCTCCATTTTATGCTTCAGACATAGTTAATACAAAATGGAAGAAAAAATCTATTCCAGCTGCAAACTTCACCAGTGATGCTACACCATATATATTTTGGGTGCTTTTAGTTTTTTATTTTACAATTCCTTCTGTATAACCCTATTATGAGTCAGACTATAACTGCAAAATACATCTTTAGCTAGCAATGATTAAAATTTTTAAAAATACGTGTTTTGTCTTTTTGTTTGCTTAATGTTAGCATATGTAGAGCTTTTGGCTAAATGTTCCCTAAAAATGATCACTAGCCCTAAATTTGAAATTAGGAGAAACTTTAAAGACATCAGATTGAGGGTTTAAATAAAATAGAAATCCAAACTTTCTTTTGCCTTTTGCTACTTTCTTCAGAGTCACCATTATAATAATATTTAAAAATGACTAGGGAGACGGTAAAATTTTTGCATTGATAATGTAATATTATATTTACCTGGAATGTGAATTAATGACTCACGTTGTTATAGAGGGTTTATGCCTGTGGTCCATTGATCTAAGTGGTATAATTTAACCTATATTCCCATATGAGGCTTATACCACTCACTCGATAGATGAATCCATGTGGAGCATCTGCTACGTGCCTGATCTGTGTGAGGCACTGGCTATTCAGTGGAATACTTTAGTACTTAAATACACATGGGAAAAATGAAGCAAGTGGTCACCAACTTTTTTTATCTGTAAAATATGTGTATAAATCGTTTTCCACTACCAATTTTATGTCGTATTTTAACAATATAATCTATAATGTTCTTTATTGACTTTTATCTGCATTCACTGAATTGATGGCATATTAAAAGCTTGAAACTAAAACCTCATATTCAATAATTATTTTAAAAAATCTTTGTAATTGTTGTGGAAAGAAGACTGACATAAAGTGCATAAAAGATGAAAATCCTCTTTTCATTAAAAATAAAAATCTCTAAACAACTGCAAAACACTTCTTTAATATTATCCACTCTTGCCACAAGAACCTCCTAAGAGGGTATCTCCAAAACAAACAACGTACAACAGTTAGACCACGATATGATTGATTCATGTAAAGAGCCACAGCACTGACCTCAGCCATCAACAACGGCCAATTGCATACCTGCCACCAACAGAGGGCTGCAGTTTTTGGTATCAAAGGAGAAAAAAATGTTGAGGGAGGATTTTAAACTGCACTAAATTATAAAAATTTTTGGGAGAGATTATGAAATAACCAGCACAATACTTTTCTAAAGAAGAGGGTGATGGGAGAAAAATTGTCAGCCTTAGAAGAGGAAGGTTGGCATGTATGTAATTGAATGACACAACGCTGAAGGCATTGTTTCTTACAGGTCTTCCTCTGACACGAGAACGAACATCAGAGAACAAACAACTGGGCTGAGCTCTGCTCTAACATCGTATTTTTTCCAATCACAGAAATCTCGACTGGAAGATAGTCACTGAGTAAACCAGAGTTGTTAACTTGAAAGAAAAGTCTGAGATTTGCACTGAAATGGAAAGTTTTCTTTACTTACTGGAAGACCAAGGGGTCCTCTGTCACCCTTTTGACCTGGTTCACCCTTCAATCCTTTAACACCATTTAACCCTGGTTCACCCTAAATGCAAAAGCAAATGCCAATTTTGGTTGCTATCACGGGTGTTTCAACTGCGAGAGAAGAGAGCCAGTCTCCGAAACGGCTGCAGATTCCAGTTTGAGGTAACAGCAGAGTCAGGCTAGATTTGACTTGCATCAGTTCAAAATTAATTAAAAAAATTAAAAATTAATAAGCTGAAATTGACAATTAAATAATATTCTTGGAAGCAAAACTCCCGAGAGAGTATGCTCTTTACCATCAAAATATATTTGACTGAGTTCCCGAATTTTTCAGTTCTACCTCAAGGAAATTGGTGTTACGCTGCATTGTTCTGACCAAGCAAATCAAAGACAATCTGAGTGGAGGGCGCTGAGGAGAGTCAGCGGGAACACCCACTCTGCTGGAATGGAAAACTGGAATATGCAGGACAGCGTCATAGACAGATATTTTAAGCCTTTAAGCATTTTGCCCAGGGGAGGGAGCTAAAAATGTAGCAGCTGATGTTTGAAGTGATGCTGTTTCCGAGTCCTTGTTTCCTGAGATTGCCAAGCCAGGTCCCTATGTGGATTAATCAATAGAATAGCCAACAAATAGCCAATCCCAGAAGAGAATATGAAGATCACAGAACTTAAACGTGGTTTTACTACTGTTTGTCTGCCCAATATTAGAATAAAGGAGGTTTAGAATTTAAATTAAGGCGACAACAGAAAAGCCATGCTAAGTGATAAATTCTCTTGACTCGTTTTTTTAAAAAAATACAAGAATACAGGACCCCTACTTTCTATCAGATCAGCACATTAGAAATAGACAGTTCTGACCTGAAAAGTCAGAACTTTTCAACTTTTAAGTACGGACATTAGTTTCATCAAGAAAATCTTGAAAGACTTGGAAAAGGAAGATGATTTCAATCTCCAATGGCCTGTGGAGTCTCGCTGGGCGGGTGCGGGAGGGGAGAGATCATGCTTACGTGCGGGACAGTTATTAACCTGGGCGGTATTTCCCCCATTTGCCTGGTGATGGAAATCAGTGTGGCGCTTGTTAGACCTAAAGAGTACAGCGCCCCACCTAGACCAGTCGCACAACAATGGGTATTTTTAATAAGTCTCTCAGGGAATTCTTCTCATTGGGAAATTCTGGGAAACAGTGAGCTAGTGAGCATCCACGAAACCAGGCTGTATATCTGAACTTTCAAAGGGGTCATGGAGGAATGAACACACTGGCACAACCTCGTATAGTACCTAGTGGACTTTTGGGATTCTAAAGATAGGATGTTCTCAGTGCTGCCACCATAGGAAATCCAAATGGGCTATGGTCAGTAAAGAAGGATCCTGGAAATGTCACAGAGCTAGAATCCATCTGAGATTAAGACCAAGGCTCCATAAGCAGCCTCAGTTAACTGGCTAAACTGGAGACCCAGGGCCGTGCATGTGCGTGGACTTCCAGGCGGTGGTCTTGAGCTGACAAACAGGCAGGGCAGGGCAGCCTTGGCAAGCTGTGGAATTCTTTGGTGAGGAGTCGTGCATCGATAGGAGTGGGCAGTAATTGAGAAGGTGAGTTTTTAAACAATCAAATTCAGTGGCAAAAAGACCGAATTTCAACTCTGGACCTAAGTTCGAGTCCCAGATCTGTCCTTTAATTAGTAGTGTAATTTAGGACAAGTAACTTAAATTTCCTGGGCCTATAGTTTATCATCTGTAAAATCAAGGAACTGGCACAGGTAATCTAGGATGTCTTCTCAACTTCATAATTCTCTGAAATCTATGATTTCAGGAACAACTGAAGTTACAGGCAAAACAAATCATTGCATTGTACATATCAAAACGATCTTGAGTATTTATTAAATCTCCTGGTGATGGGGCATCTGAATCACTCATGGAATTAAAAACACAGTCTTGGAGGCATTAGCCTGAGTTATGATGATTGGGTTGGTCTTTAGTGGTGCCTTGAAATCCAAGGAGAAGCGAAGAGTGGGAAATACTGCTTTAGTCTGGAGTGGGAAAAGAGGCCCAGAGAAGTTAGATAATTACCAAGACCACAAAGCTGACAGACACGCTCTCTCTTCTGACCCAGAGCAATGCTCTTACCCCAAACTATAATCCATGTGTCTGGGACACTGTCACTCACCTGCCTCATCAGAAGGTATGGTACTCTAAAGAATGAAGAACTCTTTCCATTCTTGGGTGAGTCACCTCCCTCATCTTAAAAAAGAAACTCAACTGTCTAGAGTCAGACTAATACCTCTGCCACCCCTAAAGCTGAGTGCGCCAGAGGGGCTCCCCAGAGGAGAGGCTGGGCTGCCTCTAAGCTTTCTGATTCCTAGAGCCGACATGGCATTATGGCTCCTCCATCCCTCACCACTTAGATGCACAACTCACCACTGAGGAGCTTCCAAGAGTCCCTGACCCTTCCGTCAAGCAGCCTCAAGGAATAGCTAAATTTTTCTGTTCAGAACAAAGCATCAAATCACAAGATAAAAATAACAACGGACATTTTTGGGTGTTTATCAACAACTGCAGATATTTTACTAAGTGTTTCATAATCATGCCTCATTAAATCATCACCACACTATGAGGTAAGTTACCTAGTTTAGTAAATGAAGGATCAGAGAGGGTAAATAATCTGCCCAGGGTAACACAGCCCGTCAATGGCAACGCTGAGATTAGAACACAGGTTCTCATCACATACGCTCCCTGGAAGAAGGAGCTTGTCTTTCAGGGCTCATTTAACCCTCCAAGGTGTCCTCTCTGTCTACACAAATGCAAAGAACAGGTGGAGAACATCTTCACAATACAAGCTGCACCACTTCCGACAAGGAGGGGCTATTCTCTGTCGTTCTCTTGTTAATGTAGAGTATAGAATACACGTATGTGACATATTCTTCTCCTCAGTGGAGCACACCCGATGTCCTTCACCCCACTCTAGAGCAGTGACCTCTGGGGGAGTACCAAATTAAGATGCTGGATAGTCAAAGCATTTAGGTGCAGTACTGCATATGAAAGCAAGAAATGTCAATTAATAACACCTAACTATACAACTAAAGATACCATAATAAGAAAGAGCATCTGGACTAGTTTGAGAATCTCATCAGACTCACTTCTGAATGGTTGATTTTGACTATGATGGGTAACTTAAGAAACTTACATAGTGACCAGGAAAGAGGCAAAATGAGGAAAAACTCATCTCCAGGTGATATCACTCAAATCTGCTGTAAATCATTCTGTGCTGTGAGATTCAAACATCTGGATGCTTAAAGGCTTAAAGATTATCAACACTACTTGACAAATAAATAAGACAGGACAGACATGCTTCCGCCATGCTTCTCCGTGATTAACAAGGAAACAGAAATAAAACAATCAAGGGATTTGTTGAGTTACCTTTGGTCCAGGAAGTCCATGGGGTCCCTGAAAAAGGAAAACACAGCTTTTAATTAAGAATTGACTCACTATTTCCCAGAAGAAGTGAATATTATATAAAGTAACAAAAGGCAGTAAAACAAGAATCTTCTCATTTGAGCTACAGCTAGAGGCAGGCCAGTGGAGCCCCTCGTGGAAGCTCCTTCCAGCTCTTGGATTGCTCTGTACTAGGAAATTCACTAATAGCAGTTCTTTCTGCTAAATGTCTGTGAGAGGGAGGGAGGAATCTGCAGGTTTATACAGAAGAAACAAATAGAAAAAAGTATTGTGAACCCACACTACTCCTATTTCTCAACTCCCCATTTATCTCAACTCACAAACTTGATGAGTTTATATGGAATAAAGGTAAGTCTGAAAAGACAGAAATTTGTCAAAGAAAAGTCCCAGACTTTAAGTGCCAGTGAAGAGAAGACCTTTTCCATTACTAACTCCTGTAGACCCAAGGTGTTGAGAAATCTAAAGGAGGAAGGAAATGAGGAGACGACAGTCAAGTTTGGAACCCTATTGCATCATCCATTTGAATTAAACCTAAGGAAAGGATTCTAATGCAGGAGTGCTAAGCATTATTATTTGGAATGCATTCACTTTTACAAAGATGAATTTTCCAAGGTTCTTGTAACAATTGTTTACCAAGGGAAGGAAGTAATAATGCATGCACGAGTCAGGGTTTTTCCCCTGTATTTTGTGGAAAATCTAAATATACAGACTACTTAGCCAATCTAAATTAATTAAAATTTTCTTTGAATTGCTTTAAACTTTTCAAGTGATTAAAATAAATTATTTGGAAAGAGGAGTATTTAAATACCTATCAGTGCAGGAAAAAGTTTTTTATCAAGCAATACATAGACATTTGTTACTTATGTCTACATTGGGAATATTTTCCCTTAGATAAGTTGTGAATAAACATTTTCAGGAAATGACTGGTACTTTATCAAGTATTCTTATCTCATTTTAGTAATGGTTTAAAATTTCTTTAAACTAATTAATTTTATGATATGAACAGGACATAGCATTTTTAATCTAATCTTCCAACTTAAAGTAGAGGGAGTATAAGGAAGTCAAAAGTATGCCATTTGCTTACTTCTTAATGAATGTTTAGTTTTAAGAAAAGAAGGTTGTCATAATGCCTTCTGGTACGAAACAGAAGTGAGTGAGGAAGGAAGGGATGCTCTGGTCTGGGGCTACGTTCTGAGGCTTAGATCGTTCCATTGAGGCTCTTTTTTAGAGCACAACAGGAGGAAAGAGTGACCCACGGCTTGCTTCATCTGTCTGGTTGAAGACATGGTTTATTGAGGCATCTTAGAGACAAAGGGGACCTTAGAGGCTGCCGGACGTGTCCCCTCCCGCCCCAGTCAAAAGCATTTGAAGCACGGCACTGTCTGCATTCTAGCCTTAACACAACTGTCACCAGGTGACATTCTGAAAATTACACTGCTTTAATGGCTGCTGTCCTCCCTGGACGTAAGTCCTACAAGGGCGTGGTCATTGTCTCCACTGGTCTCTGAGGAATATCTGCATAAACACTTTTTCCACTGAAGAACCATAAACGTGAAAAGACAAGACCCTACAATATATGTCATCTGTGGAAGTGAGCTTCCATTTTTATCATATTATTTTATAAATCTTCTGATTGACATTTCATTAAAGGATCACAATGCTCAAAGCTGTTTAGAAACATCCATTAACAGCTACAATTACTAATCTTGTTATGTTACTAATGGCCTAGAAGAGTGATTGGTTAAAACGATTTTCTGATGTTCGTGCTAAGGCTGGAGTAAAACCGGCCAGATCTATCTTCCTTCAACTCTCCTATCGCAAAATTACGCTCTCTCTTTCCAACTGATATGTTTGCAGGAGTGAAAGGCAACACTGCAAAGTCAGTATATTGAGAGCACCTCGCATTTTCTGTCCAGTCCACAGACAGTAGCACAAAGCTGGCTGTTTCCAGTGAGGTGTTCATGTTTTCTCTAGTAGCATGCTCGTAATAAATGATCACATTGTGGAGAGAAGAGAGACTCACCATGGGGCCTGGTGGGCCATGGGGACCTGGTGGGCCTGGTGGGCCTATGATCTGTATGTCCAAAAAATAAACATGGATTTGGTTACTTCATTTAGATAAGGCAGTTTGACTCGAATCTTGCGCTGGGGGTCTGCGAAGGCCATTAGTAGTTGCAGAGGAAGAAGGGGTGCATTGACTCTCTAGGTTTAGAAATTCCTTCATGAGAACAAAAAGACTGAAAAAAAATACAGTTGTTCTACAAAAGCCAGAATAAATCAAAAGTACATTAAAAGAAAAGGAAGCAACTGATTACCAAGAAATGGTATAATGCCACAACCACTATTGAACTCTCGGATCTTTCACTAAGCAACAACAGGGCTCTGGAGCAAAAGGAACGAGTGTCCTATATTCACAGAGCTCTGCCCACAGCATCGTGGGAGAACCATTGATTTTCTCAGGATAGACAGTCCTCTGACACACAGCTTCTAACTCAGACCTCTGAGATACTTTGTCTGTCATCGTGCAAGGCCGACAAATGTTTGTTCTACAGTTTGACAAACCAAGAGGGGACACGGTCTTGATGCTGTAGATAGCGCCACCTGGCACAGGCTGAACTAGGTGAGTAACAGGCCGGGTGCAGAGCTCTCCAGGAGCATGGAAGTTCCGCCGCCACGGACTTACAGAAGGACCCTGAGGACCTGGCAGCCCGGAGTCTCCTTTCTCCCCTTTCACTCCATTGGCACCCTACAAACAAGTGTTGAGAGAATTGAGCTGGTGGAGTTATCTTCAAAGTGTGAGAAACAGCTGAATTTCCTCCCCTAACCCACCATCCTCTTGAAATTTTTATACTATCATGCATGTAATATATAAAAGAGGGAGCCATCCCCTTGTGTTTTAGCCTCAAACAGCAAGCTTATTCAAATCCCTCGGATGGTGGGTGACGTGAAATAAAATATAGAGTAATTAAAAACTAGGTTAGGCTTGATTGGTTAACTTATACATTGTTAAATATATCAGATTATAAATGTCATTTTTTTAATGGTGGTGCTCACTTTAAATAGCAAAGGTCAGTCTTTTAACTTAGTTTTCATTGACATTTGTTTATACATTCCCTTGTTTTAATACAGATGTAGGGCAGTGAAGTTTTCTACATTTTTCCCTCCAAATTCTCAGTAAAAATGATGGAAGAACACCATAAAAACACCATCCCACAGTATGATACACACAAAGAGAATACTTTCCAGAGTAACTTGTTTTTTATTTGTTTAATATTTTTTGGTTTGTTAGTTTTTTATTATGATTTATTTAAAAATGATCAGTTACCACTATCTTATGCATACTAAGTTAAAGTGATCAACTGTATTTATTTTACTGTCTTCTAGTGAAATAATTCAGGGAAACCTGATGATTTGTTTTATAATTCATTTGGCTGATGCTTTAACATTTTTTAGTGCCCCAGTGGAGTAATTAACCAAGAATACCTTAAATATTTAAAAGTAAAAGTGTTATAAGAACCACTGGATGAGACTGCAGCTAATAACATTAACTCTTTTCTGATTATTTAGTTTATTTTAATATGAACACAGCATAAAAAGTATAAACCTACCGGTAATCCAGGAAGTCCAATTCCTCCTTTTTCACCTGGCATGCCTGGGTCCCCCACGTCTCCCTTTGAGCCTTTGAGCCCCTACAAATGATATGGTTTGTATGTAAGAATCTTACCGGCCCTTGACAGTAACATCCTCAGGAAATTAGAATTCTACATCAATTTTGTGACTAGGTGGGTCCCATGCTGAGATGATTCTGGTTTTCATTTTTAGGCAGAGTTATTTCTTATAGCAACCTCTACATTGAATCTATACTATTTCCCCATGTAATGGAAGGGATTAAATTCTATTACTTAGGCCATTTAAGTACGAAAAACATGAACTTAGGCATTGATATAATTTCTCCTGATTCCATATTTTCACCTGGCAGCTAATTCTGTATCACCGGTCCTGAGCACAATTTAATGGATTTAATTCTCAACGTACAATATACATTTTGAACCAGGACTAGTGTTATGATAACAAAGGTCTAAATAAATTTCTCCCATCTCCACCCACCATTCTCCCCTACTCCCTTAAAAGCAGGCAGAACTTCCAATCACTGTCAGTCTTCAATGGTCCAATACACAGACAGGTAAATCATTTACTGCACACCAATGCTCAATCAGTGCTTAGAAATACTTCAAGTTTTCTACCGTGTTCTTATTTTGTTCTCAAGACATCTCTACGAGGTGATCCAGGATGTTATTTTTATTCTTCTTTTACAGTGAGGAAATAGATAAATGTGTATTTTGAAAGCTAGCAAATCTGAATTTTGTGATTCGAATACTGAAATAATTCATATTATTAAGCATTTCATCCAAGGGACCTCAGGCAACATGACGAGATGGTCTGTTCTTCAGCAGAGATGAGCACAGTTATTACAGCAAGGGGCCCCTAGGCTGCACAAACTTGTGCATCTTTTCTGTACCAAAAAACTACGTAAGGACAGGAACGTGTCTTTTCTTGTTACTTATACGTATTTTGTAGAACCTAGTTCAGAAGCACCCACTAGGTGGGTGGGTGGGTGGGTGGGTGACTGAATGGGCAGGTGGATCTTACTGGTTAACCAGACCCTGGTTGGTTGTAGGGATCTAGCGATGGACAGTAGCAGGACAGTCAATCCAACGGACTTAGTAGCAGAAGACGACATTGTGAAGCCTATGGAAAAAGTCCAGCTCCTGTGTATGTAGGGACCCTGCAGTATGTCATTACGCATGTCAAATTAATCATTTTTAATGACTAACAATGGGAAAGGTAATACAACTAGATTTTTAAATTCTAACGTGAGCTCTGATTGATAACAGCAAATCACCTAAAGTCTCTTTCTTTTTCAGCTACCACATGTTTATTTAATGTGACAGTGTACGATTTCAACATACAACTCTGATATCAAAATAACTCAGCTCAAACTTAATTTTCTTATCTAATGGTATCTACTAAGGAGTATATTTCACTAACTGTATCAAGAAATCCCTTGATTTCTTATGATCGTATTGATTTTAGCCATTTCTTGGGTAAATAATGGAAGCCCAGAAAACATCAAATACCTTGAAACTGACCCATGTGATTTGATTCTGAATACTGTCCCTTCTCCTGGTCAGACTCTCTTTGGCCAGGGGTCAACCATGGTTTACGGGACAAATCCAGCCCAGGGATGGTTTTTATACAGGCTGAATGTTTTAAAAAATTTTTAAGAGGTGTTAAAAAAAAAAGAATGTGTGACAGAGACTGTATGAGGTCTGCAAAGCCTGAAACATTTACTATCTGGTCCTTTCTAGAAAAAGTTTTCCAATGTCTCTTTTGGGGGAACCCCAGAGATACTGCCACATCCTACAAACCCACAAGTGCCCTGCTGGCTTCTGTCTTTTCTAATGACCTAGAATACTAGGTGTACTCTTTATTTGGGAAAAGAAAATATTCTCAAAATCACACACAGAGCAATATCTAATTTTGTGAAACCATGGTCACTGATGTTAATCTTGAATTATTTGTATTCACAGACAAAAATTGGGTTATTCTTACTAAATTGTTAATGATCTTACAAGTCTATTAAAAATTCACAGAGGTGTCACTGGTAGATTGATTAGGAGTATTAAGACAAAACTAAAGATCATATAGGTTGTACGTTTCTGCAAAAGAAGACTAACGTCTATTTTGAAACCAATGGCTTTTCAGAGTTCATGTAGTCTCTGGAACAGATGGTGAAAAAAAGAGAGGATATCATATACCAACACTCATGCCTTTTTGGCTTCAAACCTATAATAAAAGAAGTGATCAATAATGATGCTTTAAATGACAGCACATCTCTCTGAAAATTACCTGCTCTCCATCGGCTCCTGGGATTCCTGGAGATCCTGGCTCTCCCTGTTAAGATAAAAAGCGATGGCTCGCCTCCATTTATCATTGGTAGCACATGACACTAAATAAGAATGGTGCCAGTTGGTAACAGTACAGTTTGATTTTCAGCAAATGCATCATAACCCAAGAACACTTTATGACATCATACCACATATCTAAACTAAGTGAAATAACATTTTCTTGAAGATTATCTATAATAATACTTAGATGTAGCTAAGTATTTTTTTCCCACTAAAAGAAAAAATTAGTGAAAGAGAACTGATAGAGATCATTTGATGGCTGACAATATCCTGTAATAACAACCTCCATGCCTCAGTTAATTTTTTTCTCCTTAAAAAATCTGTATGATTCTACTTATTTTCCAATTTGAGAAAAAAGCAAAAATGAGACAGTTAAGAAAAAACAAAATGCAAAGCCCCATAAGTTTACAATATTTTAACTGGCACCATTTGAATAGAGAAGACAAATTCATAGTGAGTATGAACGTGGTATTTCCAGATAAGCCTCATGGAAGATACGATAAATCAGAGAATATCTTAAGCCACATAAAATTATTTTTGGATCAATTCAATTTCCTACACTAAGCTAGGAATGAAATAAAATTCACTATTCACAGTATGATTTATTAGAACCCTTGACAAATGGCAAATATGTAGATTTATTTTTTCTTAACTGAAGATGTTCCATTAAAAACAAATTTAGGGACCGCCCGGTGGCACAGCGGTTACGTGCGCACGTTCCGCTTCGGCGGCCTGGGGTTTGCCAGTTCGGATCCCAGGTGTGGACATGGCACCGCTTGGCAAGCCATGCTGTGGTAGGCGTCCCACACATAAAGTAGAGGAAGATGGGCACGGATGTTAGCTCAGGGCCAGTCTTCCTCAGCAAAAAAAGAGGAGGATTGGCAGCAGATATTAGCTTAGGGCTAATCTTCCTCAAAAAAAAAAAATCATATTTAAACAGTGTGCTAGAGATTTATCCAAACAACACGCTTCTTGTCACCTTTCAGTTGAAAAAGGTCCTGAACAAACAAATTCTTTGAAAGGCAAGATAGTATTTTATATCAATGAGTCATTTACGTTAATCCCATTATAAATATCCCTGATTCCCACATTGTGGAAACTTTGTGAAATCAGCCCGCGTGAGTGGCCCGCGTCACAGAGAGATTTCCAAGGGAGCTGACTTGAGGCTGTATTTTTCTAGGAAGCCTTGTTTGGTGATGTTATAAACCGCAGTGTGGAAATGCCTGCAGCTCCTTCCCTGGTAAAGCTTTAAGAGCTATCAGCCACCACATGAAATTTGAGTTTTGTAGTGTTTAAGGAAGGCATGACAAACCAATGACAGAAAAAAAAAAAAAAGGAAGAAAGAAAGGCCTTTCCTTATTCCTGATTTCTTGCCCTTCGTGGTAACAGCAAAGTTTGCTTCGCCCCAGCACGTCGGCCAAGGCTGGCTGAACCTGGCTGTTTCGTTCCATCTGAACACTTGTCAGCACTCTGGGTCTCATAATGATCATTTTGCTTTTATCTTCAAGATGTAACCGTGAGTGTTTGAAAGGAAGCATAATTCCTGAGTTATCAATTTACCTTCACCTATCAAATGTAGTTTGTAAAGAGTTTCTAGATGTGTAAGAAGTCACACGATCCTCGTTTGATTAAGGAAGGAGGAAGGCTAATTGACTAGCTCCCATTCAGTCTGAGGCCAAGTCCCCAGTGGGAATGGGTCTCTATTTGTCTCAGGCTGCATGTGCTGATTCTTCGTCACGGACACAGCTCACCCCAGTTATCCCAACCTTCTCAAGGAGAGATCATGGAAAGCACGAAGGACTGGATCAATTGACCCAAGATCTCAGTTATGACAGCATGAGGGGTGCGTGAGGTGGAGTGACAGCACAGCGGCAGGTGGCAGGGGTAAGAGGTAAGGAGTATGACTAACCCCCACCCCCACAGCTCTACACATTCATTCAGCCAGCTTCCCCTGTCCCTCAGTTTCAGCTCAAAGTCATCCTTGACTCGCAAGACTGAAGGAGCCTTCCCCTGTGCACACCCAGAGCACGTGCACTTAATCCCAGCGCTCACTCTATTTATTAATAACTGTGCCTGTACTTGCCTATCTCCCTTCCTAAGTTGTAAGCTCCTTGTTGAAACCCCTTACTACAGCCTAGTATCTTTACTAGATATTAGTCCTCATCACAGAGTAGAGACTCAAAAATTACTTACTGAATAACTGAATTAACAACTGAATAGCAATTGGATTATAAAGCAAGGAGGGTATAGATTCTACTGACATAGCCTTCTTGGCTAGGTGGTCCTTTTTGCCCCTTTAGGGTAAGGGATGGGTACCTTTTGGCCTTCTGTAGGTCTTTGGGCTATAAAAAAGAGTAAAGTCCTAGAAGCTTTCGAGGTTTTAGGGAATGAGGTACGTATTTAGCTGTGGGGACAATTTTGGTTCTGGAGACTTAGTCAAGTGAGGGGATGGAGCAAGGAACTTAGATCTTCGCTGACTCCACACAAAAGAAAAAGGAATCTGCAGTTTCCTTCCAGGTTGTCTAGTCCAGCTCACCAAGACACTAAAGAATAGAGATCCAGGCTGACTTGCTCACCAGGAATGAAGACAATGTGTGACTGGAGCATATTTTTGTGTTATATCTCTTAGGGAGCAGAACGTGGTGGAGAAATAGAAAGTTAAAAATCCCAACACTTACGATAATGTTATATAGGAAATCTATTTGAAATTAGGGTCTATGTTACAAATATATCTCAGCCAAGGATCTCAGTAATATTTTACTTTATATTTCTTTTTATAATAGAAAAATAACTGTTTCTATGTGCTGGCTTTCTGTTTTTAAGTATCTTGAAAGAGAAGAGTACAAAGCTGATATGTATGTGTGTATGACAGACTTAGCAAATAAACTGCCTTAAGAGGTATGAACAAAAGATGGATTTCAAAGCTGCTTGAATTGCCTACAAAAATCCTATGACGGAAGTCATATTTCAACACATATAGCTCAGTTCTGAAAAGCCAGAGCCACTGGCCATGTGTTCATTGATCAAACGTGGTTGAATAAGTAAGCTTTCGTTTGGATAATGCCACCAACAATTTTAGATATTATCAATTAATTCTAAGCTTCTACTATTCATGGTTGTTATGTTTCATTAGATATGATTTAAAAGGCAAAAATGTCTGAATATATATAATAACAGGATGTGTTATAAAAAGTGACTCAAAATGATTCCTACAAGTGTCATTGTGAATGCATCATGCTAAAGCTCCCCTTGTTATTTTTATTACAAAGGAACTAGAGGAAAGGATCTTTTTAAGCGTCAGAGTAAATTTTCCTTCAATCCTCCTCTATTTAAATATTTTCCCTTTTCATACACCACATTTGTGTTTCTTTACATTTACAATTTCTGTGAAACTTGTTTTCCCTTGTTTACTATTCTGTTTCTCTCACTGTCCTCCCTCTAAATTTAATGTCATTCTCACTTCTCTCCCTTCTCTTCTAACTTTCCTTTTTTTCTGATCCCTCTTCCTTTAGCCCAGACCTCAATTTCTATTCTTAGCTCTTTTAAGCAATATTGCTGATCTCAGTTCCTCCAGTATTTTGTAAGATTGATTGTCAAAGATACATATATTTAATATGAGATTCTCTGCACCACACGCGGCAAATGGAAACAAGTAAAATAAGGAAAACCTTTGGGCCTTGCAGTCCTTGCGGTCCAGGCGGTCCAGGGGGACCCTAAATCCAGAAAAGACAGAGTTTTAAAGAGTAGCAAGTATATGTATTAAAAATTATGCTTTAAATAAGTACACTATACAACTCTGCAGTTTCTATCATAATCAAATCCCCCTGATACTGATTTGCAATGCGGAAAAATTTCACTTGTAAGACAATGTGAAATTGCGGCTGTGTCCCACAGTCGTCTGCTTGGGCTGAATCAGCCTACTCAAATCACCTGTGTTTCTAGACACACTTCTCCTCTCCCCCAGCCAAGGCTTTGGTTTCCCAAACACTAAAGAACAAAGCTGTACCATTACAATAAGGCCAAAAACTTCTGAGAAAAATAACAATAACTTTTTTTCTTCACTTTTTTCACTAAGTAGACAAACTGATTCAACTGGAGAAATGCTGTAAAAAGGTATTAATATAAGAAAATATAAAATTAAATATCAGATAAAAACAACTGCTACGTTAGTATCGTTATGACCAGCATGCATGAACAGCAAATACAATGTCCCAAACCACAGAAATCATGCAACAGGAGTTACCGTGACGGTCAGGGTGGTCATCCTCTGTTGGGAAAATGTATCAATAAAGACAGAGTCACTGATTTTGTGTGCCGAAGTTCAAAAACATGTTTCTGAAATAATCAACTTTTTGAATATGTTTTGGCAAGACTGATGTCTTAAAAGAAACTGACAGAGACTGAGAACACATTATCCTATCTTAAATTAATATAATATACTGTAAAGATTTCTTTTGTATAAAGAAAAAGTAAAAATTTTAATGCATCTGATTTTTAAAAATTATGTAGTAAAATGTACACACCAGAAGTCTGTCAGCATAATTGGGAACTGAGAAACTTTGCTACTCATAGGCACTCTATTCTAGAGTCCTTCAATTAGAGAAAACTGAAATAGCTAATTGTATAAGTAATATTTTTTCTCTTTTCGTCTGTATTTCATTTGTTGCATTATAATTAGCTTGCTTTTGTGTTTGTGACATGACTAACGACAGAAGTCAATAAGGGATTCATTTAGTTTCTTAACGTAAAGTGCTAGAGTACTGTAACAAAATATATTCTCTCAAAGTATGAATCCCCAAACACCCACTCTCTAATCCATGAATCGTTTGTCCATTAATATTTTCTAGTCTGAGTCTTGTGCTAAAAGTTCTGTAGGGTCTAGAACCACTTTATGTGGTCATAGAGGAGAGAACATTTCCATTACGGTCTCTGCTTGTAGAGAAACATTATCTGATCACATGTAGAGTGGAGAATATCAGTTTAACACCATCCCCTTGTTTTCCACTACTCCAGTCCAATTTCTGATTCAGGCTGTTGTTGCTGCTTTTTATTATGGTTGTCGTAAAAAATAATCTTAACATTATCCTTCTTACTTCAAACACGTAATCGAGTCTCTAGTGACATAGTGTCATCCTTCCTTAGAAAACAATATATTTATGCAAGTGTACAAATGGTTCAACTTTGGATTCTATGATAAAATCAGTCGTGGTTGTTGACAGCTTCAGAGAAAACATAGTAGGAAGAAAACAACCAGTGCTTATAGGTCAAAAGGCAAAATGGCCACAAGCTGGGGGCAAGGTTTTAAAAAAATCAAGGTCCAGATTTTTATACCATCATATCTGTGTGACAAGAGGCATGACTGACTTTATTCTTAAGGGATTCAACTAGAGTCAGAGTTGCATTTACGGTTATGAGAAAGTCACTTCTTTGCTCCTTTTGGCAGATGAGTCATTAAAAAATGCCATGAGAAAATTATAGAGTAGAAATAATTTCTTTATTCTTGCCTTCCAATTACACGTTACATTTTTAACTAGAAAGCAGAATCATAAAATCTTAGAAAGGGAAGGGAGTTTAAAATTTGAACTCTCAGAGGTTTTCCAACATGTACCATAAATGATTCATTTCCCACCTAAACACAAAACTCATTTGCCTTTTTTTAAATTTAAGGATAACAACACATTTCATAATGAGGTGCATAATAGAAGAATATTATTAATGGTAACTGAACTATCTGGCAGATGGAGTTTAAATGATCCTGTTAAATGACTATATTAGTGAGACCTAAAAATTGTGCAGCGCAGGTTCCATCCAGGGAACAGAAGAACAGATAACAGCATACTAAGCTAACTTCTCAAAAACACAGCATCTACTGCCATGCAGACGCTCAGAACTGTCCGAAAGATGTCGGCTCACTTTGGATTTCTTGTACCTGGTTCCTCTAAGTTAAAGCAAGATAAACTTAGTAGGATTCTCTCTGGAACTTCAGTAATGATTTGAAAAGCAGAATTTTTGGCAGTAATGGAGAACGATATGCCATTCTCTAGTGAGGAAGGAGGTGAAATGGGGGCCTGAGCTAGAGCACCTGCGAACGGGTGAAAGCTAGCGGGCTGCTGTGTGATTTATTCCCTGAGATGCTTTTGTGAATCTCCTTCATTTCTCATAACGATGCAGGCTGAAAATCAAGCAGGGTTTATACTAGAGAAGAGGGTTAGTTTAAATGGTGTCGAGAAATTTTAAAAGCTTAAGTTAGGAAATGGAGAGGGTTTATTGCTAAACGTGGAAACGTAACCACCTTAAACAAAAATCAAAACAAATGGCTTATGGTAAACAGTCTTGTAAATAATTTTCCATAGGGGGAACAGTAGAATTTCATATTTCTAACGTGATTATTTTTATAACTGTAATTTACCCCTATTTATCTAGTCATTCTAGATTTTTTGCAGTTTTTTTAGAGGACAGACTAGTGAAATGAAATCAGCTAAACTGTGAAGACCCATCAATGGTTGGAGAATTAGAAGACTAAAGGTCTACTACTTCCTCTCGATCTAATGGATATTTAGTTTAATTAATTTTATTGGGGACTCTTAACCCAGTAGAGTTCTACATTAGGAAAACAAATAGTTTCGAAGTAAAAAAATATCTATAAGCCATTTACAAGCACAACATACAGTTGCCCTAACAATCCCATAAGAATAACAAATCTTTAGGTTGAGAGATAAACATGAACTAGTTGACTGTGGTGGATATTGACTGGTTACGGTCATACAGAACTCAAGGTGAGAAAAAGAAACTGAACACATGTATCCTTTCATATCAAGATGCAGGGGTCAGATTTTTAAAAAGTGCAGTGTGTTTAAGGCACACCAGTAAAGACTGGCCAGGAGCTGCTGAAAAATTAGCCTAGGCATAATATTATTAGATTTTATAGACCTTTAGAAAAAAATCTATTCCCCAAATACCCTCATTTTACAGATCAGACCAACGAAGTATAGATACATCAAGTGATTTCCCCAAAATGACCTAGCTAGTTAGTAGCAGAGGGGAAATCAAAACTGAGATTCCGTTTTAGGCTCAGGCAGGCTTGCTTCATGCTGGGCCCTATCCACGCACAGGGTGTCGTAACAAGGTTCTTTCACAATTTTTCAGAAAATGGCGAATAATACTGGAGCATTTCTTGGAAGATAAGAGAATGGATACCTCTTAAAGGTGGTAGCAAGAATTATGATGCCAATGGAAGCAGATGAAGGGAAATTTACAACATTGCTAATAAATTAAGTTAAAAAAGTGTGTTCCTGTATTTTACAAGAACTTTGAAAACATAGTAGATACACTAAAAATTCTTGTTCTTTCTTTCTTTATACATGCAGTTATCAACTGGTGAGAAAAAGGGAACAATTTCGAAAACTGGTTTTAGAACTTTACAATAGCCCAGAGGCTACTACTCGTGTCTAATCCACTTGCACTGAGGAACACTAATTCAAGCCGTTGACTGAACATCCTGCTCAAGCAACATTTCTCCAAGCAGTAAGCATACTTCTCCTTGCATCTTACAGAGTGAAAAGAACAGGAAAATTGGCTGAGCTGAAGAAAGGTTCTGTAACAACTATTTAATAAATGCTTTGCTGGTTAAAGATGGTACTTGTAGCAAAGGACCCATGGAAATGTAGACCCACCATAACTAGATACTGTTAGGGAAACCAGAAAGATGGAAACAAAATTCAAACAAGTACAAAATGGCAAATATTTAAAACAACTGATTTGGCTTTCAAGCAAAGAAATACATTGGCCATATGAGCTAAGTATACTCACTCATTCAACCAAGAATAGTTTATTTAATATTCACATGACCAGACCTATGTCAGGCACCCTGGGGGATACAGAATAAGCATAAGACATGTTTCCTGTCAGCAAGTAACTTACAATCTGGTAAGAGGCAAGACTAAAGTAAATTATGCAATTTGAGAACAATTAAATGTTAAACTACTGGGCCCTGACTGCTGATATTTAAAGGGATTAAGAGGAGGCATTCATCTGGGTCAGCAGTGGATTGTTGGATGGGATTTAGATGGATGAAAGAAAGAATGGGATGAACCAGGCAAAAAGAGGGGGAATTTTATGGGTATGATAAATATGACTGCTCTAGGTGGAAAAGAGTGTTGTGGAGAAATAGAAAAGTCTGTACAGGAAAGGCAAGATTATACAGCCTTAAAAGTCAGATGCAGAAATTCGGGCTTGATAGAGTAGGCAAGGGAGTCATTTAGGCTTCTGAGCAGATTACAGCCACCAAAATAGTGATAGTTTAGGAGAATTACTATCTGAATTGAAGTGATCTACAGTATGGATTAGAAGGGGAAGGGGGCACGTGGGGCAGAGGAATTGGTCAAGGGCTGGCGGCAGCGTTAGACTTGAAATAAACAGGATGTGGATCTAGTTGGGAATGGAGAGAATAGAGACACTTTGAAAAAAGAAATCGCAGCATCTGGTGAGACATGATGAATGAAGGACTAAGAATAGTTTTGAAATGACTCTAAAGTTTCTATCTCAAGAAATTCAAAGACTTATGGTATGACTAACAGAAATTGGTTAGTTAAAAAAGGGAATCAACTACTGGGTATCTACCCAAATAAACTGAAATCAACAACCCAAAGTAACACATGTACCCCTACATTCTCTGCAGCACTATTCACAATAGCCAAGACATGGAAACAATCCAAGTGCCCATCGACTGATGACTGGATAAAGGAGATATGTTATATATATATACAATGGAATACTACTCAGCCATATAAAAGACAAAATCATCCCATTTGCAATAACATGGATGGACCTGGAGAATATTATGCTAAGTGAAATAAGCCAGACTGAGACAGACAAACACCACATGGTTTCACTTATATGCAGAATATAAACAAACACATGGACAAAGAAAACAGTTCAGTGGTTACCAGGGTAAGGGGGTTGGGGGGTGGGAACAGGGGTAAGGGGGACCACTGTGTGGTGACAGATAAGAAATAACGTACGATTGAAATTTCACAATGATGTAAACTGTTATGAATCTCAATTTAAAGAAAGGGAATCATTTGGTAGGTGGGAAAGGTAACCAGTATAAGTGTGTGTATTGGTGGGAATTGACTTGGCGGTCATGCATCTATAGTAGAAATATTCTTAGACAGCTGGAGGTGCATGCAGATCAGACCCGGAGATGAAAGATTGGGAAGCCAGAAGATGGAAGAACATGGAAGGAGTTACTGTACCAAGAAAAGACCAGAGACTTGAGGATACCAAAAATTAGGGAATGGACAGAGAAACAGAAATACTAAAATAGGGTGGATCCATCAAAGAAGAAAACTGGAAGAAAGGAGAATAGAGGGTCAGAGAAACCAGAAAGAAAGAGTCTCAAAAGGAAGGTGGTTTACTATAAATGTCACAGAAAAGTCAACACTGATGAGCAAGTGGGCTTGACCTACCGGTTATTGTTGACCTTTATAAGAGAGGTTTCAACAGGATGATAATGCAGGCGAGAATGCAGGAGTCTCAGCAGGAGAAGGATGAATAGGAAGCAAAGGCAATGAGACAGCCATGTAGTCTATGGGTTTTTACTTAATGGGAGAAAAAGAATTGACTGGTAGCAGTAATAAGAAATACCCGTGGAGGACTTATTCTGTGCCAGGCACTGTTCTAAGTGTATAATCCGTATTTAGCCATTCATTCCTCACAACAACCCTAGGAGGCAGATACCATTGCTATCCTCATTTTACAGATGAGAATACTGAGGCACAGAGAAGTTAAATAACTTGCCCTAGGTTCTTCACTTAGTAAGAAGAGACTTGAACCCAGGCAGTTCCAACTTCAGAGAAACAGGGCCCTTAATTGCTTTGCTAGGCTCGCTTTGCAAGGAAGGAGACAAAGATTGGCAAAAACTAACACAAAGTTTAAACCAGATAAGACTAAAGCATATCTGAAGGTAAAAGGGAAAGAAAAGGAAAGATTGAAAAAATGCTAGGAAATAGAATAAAGTGAGGCAGGGAGAAGCGATGGGTTCGGGAGATCAGGGAGAAGGTGGGCTTTGAGCGGTGGAGCCCTCTGAGACCCAAAGCTGGTAGTTACACCCATTACATGGGCGCTCATCAGTGTCACTGTGTCAGGGTAGGGTGCGGTCACTTGCCTGCAAGGCTTCGTGGAGGTTGCCATTGTAGTCTATGATCTCGGTGGCTCCTTGATCTCCCTTTTGACCAGGTGGACCCTAGGAAAAAAATCAACCAATGGAAAATCTTGGAAGTTAGGCTAGGATGTAGAAGGGACTGTGGCAAAAACAGAAATAGCAACAATTCCCTAGTAAGGCCCAACTGCTCTTCAGAATGAATAATCAGGTTCAAATTTTGTCCTTATTTCAAAGGAGGCAAACCACTTCCAACTTCCTGTCTGTGGAAGGTTAAAGACACGAAATCTGATTTTGAAAAAAACGATGTGGTTCAATCTCTGAAAGTTTTTTCTGAAAATTATAAAATGTAGGCTCACCTGATTTGACTTATAAAATGTTGTGGGCTTTATCCATGTTTATTAAAGCAACTCCTAACTTCTTTCCACTCATGTACACCTCATAGATTGCTTCCTCATCCTTTAAGAAGATAGAACACTGTTCTGTAGGAAATAGTTGGCTTTCCCAACAGGAATAGAATTCCATTAAAATTAAACCAAATAGGGAACAAATATTTTTAAGACATCTATGGTCCATCCTACTCATTAGGTCTGCCACTGAATTTCCATTAGTCATGTCCTAATTCTCTGCCTGTGTTTAAAAAAGGCTCTGAAAATATGGGCTATCGATTTCTTTATAATTGGATTAATTGAGAAAGGGAAAATTCTATTAGCTGGATGGCTACGGGTTTGCTATTGCTCATTTACCAGAGGGAAAGTAGATAGAAAGAATTCTTTAGAACTTCTTCTCGTGGAGTTTACTTTATGTGCTAGAGTCTACACATTCATTGCTCCTGGTGACTAGCATAGAAAATAAGAGGAAAGGGAGTAGGAGCGATAATCACAGTAGTCTATCTCCAGTGCTATCACTGGATATTATTAGTCTGGGTGAAAAACCCAGATGGACACATACGTCAAATCTGGGCTTGTAGGGGGCCAAAAGCTTAGACAAGAGACACACTCACCCTTGGTCCCAGGTCTCCAGAATCCCCTTTGTCTCCACGATCACCCTTACCACAGTGAAAAAAGAGAAAACCTAATTAGTAGTGGGGCCCACAGTCTAGAAATATCTCACACATAATGATGTCTTTAAAACCACACAGCAGCACCTTCAGTAGGAACTTGTGAAATAGAAAACAACAACTAGAAGAATAATAACCACCAACACGGCAAATGCTTCTTTAAGATGCACCTTAAAGTAAATTAAGATTCCCCTTTCAGATGACAGAGTATCTTGAAACAATAATATATGTTACCTCTCTCACTAGGGATCTTCAAAAGCAAAGTGAGTGGTTTCTAGGACACTCAAAGTAAGCCTTCACCTCTCAGATTGAGCCACGTTCTTGCCTTTATATGAAAAGATTTGGGGCAAAGGGAAAGAGAGCCATCTAACGGGGTTGTCTGTTCTCTCAGAAGGAAAGTACAGATAATCGGGGCAGGGAAGGAAAGGAGAGCTCATTCTAGGGAGACCGAGGACCGAAAGGTCACCAGGTAGGTCTCCCTCTGATGATGAGAATCTAAGGAAAAGTTTTTCTATAGTTACGTATGGGCCTCTTAAGACTCAGAAGGTGCTGAAGTGGACAGCAGCTCGCTGGAACAGGTTGGCAGGGCTGAAGGTCGGGGCAGGGCAAACCCAGCTCTCTTTCTTTCAACACAATATGCAAAATCTCTAAAGTTCCATTTACGGTGTTAATACTCCGCCTGGAGAGACACCAGGGCTAGTCTAAGGAAAAAACTGCAAGTGCATCACTCTGAGAATACTCAAAATTCTTGGAAGTCTAAACAGAAACTTTGGAGAATAGATTTGAACGTGGATAGATTTGAATGTTCTTTAAAACAGCCTAAATCTTATAGAGTCCTTTTCCTAAATGGAATTCGACACATTTTTCCCTAAGCAGAATTCAAAGCATATTCCTATAAACTGGGTAAGGACCAACGAAAAGAGGCAGGAAAAAGGATTGTAATTTTTTTCCATCCACATTATGCTGTTAACATTGATCATAATTAAATTTACTACGAATAGAGAAATAATAATTCCCACTCTGTTTTCCTCATTTCGCACCCATTTTTCCATGTTATTAGCTAATGGCATCTTAAATAACATAATTCTGCTAACAGTATACAGATTATTACAGATACTATAAAAAGCATGATAAAGAATTTCAATTGGTGGTGAAACTTTAATGCAATGAAGGAAGTCAACTAACTTAAAAGCAAAGTATAATTTGAGCATTTATCACAAAGATAGCCGGGAAATAAAAAGTAAGATTATACCTTACATAAATTTAATTTAAGTAAAGTACTTAATTTTTTCCAGAGAAGCTATTTTTACAAAACAGGAACTACAACTTCTCTTAAATAGTCTGAAGCACGAGAACACACAAAAACAAACAAGATAAAACAAACCAACTGTTTTGAGATATCATCATAAGGATGAAATTATTACAATCCCAGTGTGTGAAAGAATTTAATCTAAAACATCATTCTCTGCGGAAGAGGCGAGAAGCGCCACTCTCGACGGTCCGATGGTACATTACAAGGTTACTCGGTTACTGACCTTTGACCCCTTTGGGCCTCTAGTTCCCGATTCACCTTGTTTCCCCTATTACAGGAGAATATGAAGATGAAAAGGAGAAAATGACAAAGGAGATAAGAACAGAAAAAAGAAATTAGCAGTGACTCAGAATAATGAAGAAAAATGGAAACACTTTATTTTAACTGCCTCCATATATGGCTCTATATAATGTGGGATTTTATAACAGTAAACATAAGTATTGTCACCGTGTCATTAGTTCATTCCCTGGTCTCTCCACCGACCTTCATTTCATTATAATTCTGAAGACTTCCCACCCATCAGTGGATGGGAAGAGTTCTGAGAATAATTCTCATTAGTCTCAACAGTGTTTGCATAAACTTCCTTTTCATCAAAGAGTGAATGACTTCCCGTGTCTCTAGGGTGGTTTATTAAAATAAAGTGTTACCATATTGGTTTGCTGGAAGTTTAGAGGAATAAAGATCGAACAGTCAAATAAATCCTTAGCTCTCATATTTCCAAGGTGTTACACACCATCAAGTTACCACAGAAACTAACACAGCACGTGCCTACATTTTTCTAAGTAAGTTTGAACACACATTGAGTGATAACATGTTAATATGACAGTGCTTCCCCTTTACGTTTGGATATGTTATTAAATTTGTTTACCAAATAGAATGGAGTAAATTGGAAAAGTTGAACTGTAAAATCCCTTCTGAAAAGAACCAATCAGTGAACATTTCAATACACTACTTGTGATTTTGCCTGTTATAACTCCTGTTGAGGAATTGTATTTGTCTCATGTTCTAAGCAAGTGACACAAATTTCCAAACCAGAGGATGTTATTTTCCAGCATCAGAAGAACTGACCTTTGGTCCGGGGGCTCCAGGCTCCCCTCGCTCGCCTCTTCCAGGAGGCCCTGCTTCCCCACGTTCACCCTGTCACAAATTACAAAATAGGTAAATGGCAGCTTCCCCCCACCAGGCTGGTCGCTGTAGATTAATAAGTGAGTTGAATAAAATCAAAGAAAGCAGAGAGTTGCCATTTGTTTACCATGTACATGGCACTATATTAATCTCAACATGGGTTATCCCATTTAATAATCAAAACAATGATTGAATGTTTGTATTACCATTCTCATTTTATGGACAAGGAAGTGGTTTGGCAAATGCTTGTCAGGTGCCTATGTTGGTACACAGAAGGGCCTTTGAAGGGAATTGATAAGGGCCATCATTACGCCTCGAGACAAGCGTGGCCACAGTTTTCATTCTCAGTCACTTTTTAAGATCTACAGGAAGAAGCGTGGTGACATGGTTATACACCAGCTTTGTGATCCGACATCCTAGGTTTTAATCCTGACTCTGTTATTTGCCAGCTCTGTATTTTGGGGTAAGTTACTTAAGTTCTGGAAGCCTCAGTTTCCTCTGTAAAATGGAGAACATTACAGTACTGGCTTTATAACTTATCAATGTAAAGTGTCGCAAGGGTGTAATACACACAGGGGTTACAGCTGGCTACCAGATTCATGGCTCTGTGAAGTTTGCACATGGCCACTGCCCTCAGGGAGCTGGTGACCTAGTTAGACAGACAAGATCCACATGAACAAAACAGTTAAGAATTAAGGAGTAATGCAGGGCTGTGTGCGAGAGAAGAGGAAACCCCATAGAGTTCTGAGGGCTCCAGATTGGCTCCTGACGTGAGACCTGAGTCATGTTCTGAAGACGGGTAGGTGTATTTTATAGTTACTGCTGTTTATGATTCTGCTGCTATGACTGCAGGAACTGCACAAAACAGCTTACATGCATTATCTTCTGTAATCCTCAGGACAAATGAGAAAGGTGTTAGCCTCCATAGTCTACAGATGAGGAAGCTGAAACTCAGAGAGGTTAAGTAACTTGCCCAAAGTCACAAAGCTTTTAAAATGAGAGAGCTGCAATTTAGAAATGATTGTGCTCAATCTTCAGTATTTGCATAAATGTTTTTGTATGCAAATCTTTTGCATTTCTCTGGTCATTTTCTCAGGATAAATTCCTAGCTGGGGAATTGCTGGGTCAAAAAGTACAAATACTTTAAAAGCTTGCCAAGCCACCCTCCAGGAAGACAGTGCCATCTTACACTCCCTGACCATAGGGAGAGTGTCCGGCTTCCTGCATAGTGGGTAGAATGTCAATAATCAAACAGGGTTGGCATTCAGACTGGTGATGGCATCTTTATGGATGAGAGATGTGCTGCCCTCACTGTAGGAGCTCACTCATCTTGCAAAGAAGAAGAAAACACGATTGGATCCACGATGGGTGACGTTGGGCTCTAAATTCCAGGGTCCTTGTCTGTACCATGCCCGTCTGGGAAGCCTTTGTGGATGGCAGGGGAGATGGGCTAGATTACGGGAAGGATTAAAGAACGCTTGGTAGGTTTCTCAGCATGAACCAAAGAGAGGTGTGAAAACAGAGAGACTGGGAGAAAGGCAAGAGACTGGAGTGACGGAAGAGATGGAAAAGATGTTCCAGACGGCACCTCCCAGGGATTGGAGGCTGAAGGGCTTCTGTTGCTATATGGAATTTTTATTTTTAAAAAAGTACCATATTTGGTGATTCTTTTAATAGTTTACAGAAGACTTCTAAAATAGGAACTATAAGATTATTGTAGAGAACAACAAAAACCTTAGAAAATCATTGATCTGTCCTGGACCGCAGGAGTCTGTATATCTTTACCCAGAATCACTTTTTATCACAATGCCCCTAATTTTGATTCTTGCTCTTTAGAATTACATTATTTACTTGCTGACTTCTTCCTCTCCTTCCACGCCTCTCTCGCACACCCTGGGAAAGGACAGACTGTTTGTGTTGCATTTGATCTCAAATCTCAAATATTAGAAAAATGTCTGGCAAAAAAATGTGTTGAATTAATGAATAAACAGTATTATTCAAAGTATTCTAAATTATTCATAGTAAAACCCCAATTCTTTAGACCCAATTCTTTAGGTCTCTCCCAGGCATTGATGTTGATGCTGAGGAGATGGCGGAACCTAAAACAGATTTTTAGATGCCGTCACACGTCTTCCTTCATTATGATCTCTCTTCACTGTGTTGGGGGTAAAATATGCAGGGTTAGTTTATTTTTTAAATCTGAATTTAGTGGCCCAAATCCAGGCTCCCTACGCAACTGGAAAAAGACTCATGTTTTCAGGCTGAAAGAGATTTTCAAATAATGATGATTTTTCCATTATGACACCAAATGCATGTCAGATAGGCAGTTCAGCTGAAAATTAACTTCAAAATACTGTTAATAAAATGAAGTTCCTGTCCACATCCCTACTTGTGGAATGGAAAACAGGTACAGTACATTCTTTACTTTTATTGAGAATTCAGAGTAGCATCTATTAGAAAAGTATCTCGTCTGTAACATCAGGCTGCGTTCTTCACAAACAGTAATTAATGTTGATTTTATGGCTCCATATCTGGATTGTTTTGAAACTGCAGAGTAGTTTAAAATCAGTGGACTATAGAAAAGAAATTTAGGGATGAACTCCACTCTCTCCTGCCCGTGTTTCTTCTATTTTCCCTCGTTTAGCGAACAGAAGCCTGCAAACATTTTAGGATCTGGCTCCTGCCGGCTTCTCTGGGGCACTGACTGGGTTTCGGGTTTCTTTGTGCTTGTCCACGGGCTGTCTCCTTTCTCACCTGGCCCTCAGGCTGCACGCCCGAGTACACCAACAGTTCTTACAGGAACACAGAATGCTCCTTATTCTCTTGCTCTCTCTCCTTTTATTCCAGAGAGTGCATTTCTTGTGTGAATCTGTTCAGGCTAAAACAGGCATTCCTCATATTTTGTTAATAAGCCTGACAACTCATTATGTGAAAATGAAATTGCTTAAGAAAACAGCAATTTTGCATAAATTCGACCGAGTTTCAGCCCCTCTTAGGCCACACATAGTTTCCATTTACTGGGATTAGAGTTATTTTCTCTCGACCAGCGGAAATGAGGACCCTTCTGTCAGAACAGACCATGAACATGTTTCTCCAGCTCTTGGAAATCATCCTGGCTTATTTCTGTGAATGCAATACACAGTGAGGCAAAGACTGCTACGGTATAAAAATAAAAGAACGTAGTTTGATCTAATTTTGCCCCTTCTTTGATTCATGAGTCTGTCATGAGTAAGGTTCCATCCTCAGAGCTGTGCCTTTTTATGTCTTACTGGGTAGATAAAAAGAGAACGACAGGCCCACTGTATCCACAGCAACATCATTTTTTATATGGCGGCAGCTCAATTTGTTTTTAGGGCCCTCTCTAGGGTTGCCAAGTGGAATATCATGAGATGGTTTTCATTACAGAGTCTTTCTGCAGACATTATTCAGGATGGATCCTTTTGGGATGAGACACTTAGGAACCTACATGACATCAGGACTTGCCTTTGAAATCTAGGGAGTGATGGGGGAATAGTAATAATGTTTGATTTAAAAGTATGTCCTAAAATCGGTGATGAGGAGCGGGAGGTAACGAGTTCTCTCTCTCCTCCTCAGAATCTCCCCATTTTTCCATCTGGCCAGGAGGCTGACAGCATCACATCAATTTAGGAGCAATTTGGGGGCAACTGGAACAACTAATATATTCCACCATCCTGTTGTCTTGCCTGAGGCTTTCTGGAATTAACTTCCTATTACTCTATTTAATATAGTATTCCCATTAAAAGTGTTATTAATGGGTGATAGGCTGCTTTAACTCTCTACTAGGCGAAAATATCTGGTCACTTAAATAATAAAGTCCTTTCCACATAATGAACTAAAAATACATGGCAAAAAAAATCAGAAAGAAAGGAAAGGAAAAAGACTCCACTTACCTTTGTTCCTGGTAACCCTGGTAAGCCTGGTTCCCCTTGAGGACCAATGAAACCTGGTTCTCCCTGTAAAAAGGTGGCATATGAGATCATTATTCACGTGACAGTAAAGTTAAACTGATTTCCTTCTACTGGGATTACACTCCTTTGATTTTATACAGCTTTCTTGCTGAGATCCAGCTACTGACTATAAAATTAATCAGAATTGGTTTTGCTCAGTGAAAATACTTTAAGCAAAGCTTTGGAGAAAACCTAGAAAGGAAGAGTGACAAGGAAAACAGATAAATGTCTTTACCACTTCCTTTCTCATCTGTTGCCTAGTGCTTCTTATCATTTACCAAATTGAGAGCCATTATGTTTGGGTGGATGTGGTAGGTATCCTCTGAGACACGCCTCCATGATGCCACCTCCTGGTATCCATGCCCTTGTGTCATCCCCTCTGCTTGCATGTGGACTGGGTTGACTGTCTCATATCTAATGAACAGAATATGGCAGAAGTAATGGGATATCACTTCTGAGAATGAGTTAGAAAAAGACCATGGCTTCCACCTCTGGGGCCCTTTCTTGTTGTCTCTCACTTGGATCACTTGCTTGGGGAAAGCAAGCTGCCCTGCTGTGAGCTACACTATGGAGATGTCCACCTGGTGAGGAACAAGGTCTGCCAACAACCACATGTGTAAGCTTGGGAGTGGATGCTCCACCCCAGTAGGGTCTTCAGATGAGACCACAGCCCTGGATAACAGCTTGACTTCATCATCATGAGAGACACTGAGCCAGAGGCACCCAGTGCTCAAATTCCTGTTCCTCTAAAACTGTGAAATAATTGTTTGTTGTTTTAAGCCACTCCAGTTATAGGGGTAATATGATAGGCAGCAAGGGATAACTGATACAGTGGATGTGGCTAGGGAAGAGATTCAGGAATGTTCAGCATGACAGAAAAAGGCATCTCTTCTTGCCACAACTCCATAACCTCTTCTCCACTACCTGGAGGAAATTGGTTGTGGTATAATAAAAAATGTATTTGGTCTATTTTTCTGGTTCCTGGCACAGAGCTTCTAAAACCTTGGGATTGTCTAAGTGATAGGAGTAACAGGAGCATCTTTTGTTATTCATAACAAGAGTCTTTCAAGGTACCTGAGTTTATGCTGATGAAGTGACTTGACTCTTGGCGGCCCCTAGAGAGCCCCAGGGTGGGGGCTATGATGAGAAGGGTGGAACATTCAGCCCGTCCCCTCCTCTCACCATCTCCAGGGAGGAGCGGGACTGGAGAGTGAGTTCAGTCACCAACGGCCAATGATTCAATCAATTGTGCCTACATAATGGCACCTCCATAAAACCCCTAAACAATGGGTATTAGAGAGCTTCTGAGCCGGTGAACACATCTACACGCCGGCAGGATGGTGCACCTCAACTCCCGGGAACAGAGGCTCCTGTGCTCAAGACCCTTTGACCTAACCCTATATATCTCTTCATTTGGCTGTTCATTTTATCTTTTATAATTAACTGTAATAGTAAGTATGACATGTTCTTGAGTTCTGTGAGTCATTGTAGCAAATTTTCAAACTTGAGTGGAGGTGAGAGTGTGTAGTTGTGAGCATCCTCAAATTTGTAGCCAAGTAAGAGACAAGTGCAGGTAACCGGGGGACCCAGTACTTGAGATTGGGGTCTGAAGTGAGGGCCGTCTTGGGGGCTGAACCCCTAAACCTGTGAAGTCTGATGCTAACCCTGAGCAGTTAATGTCACAATAGGATTGAATTGTAGGACATGCAGTTGGTGTCAGAGAATCAGAGAGCTGGAGAAGCGGTGTTGGAAGACACCACGTATTTGGCGTCAGAAAATACCTGAGACCAGTGTTCATATTTTCTTGAACATCCAGAAAGTTTTCTTTTCTTCTTAACAATGTGAGCTCAGATATAAGAGTCTAAATTCCTTAAATCGATAACATAGTTTTAAAGCAAAAAGCATAATGGCTCTGTTCCCATAGTTCCTGTTTTCTGTTTTTGTTTTTTACCCAAGGTGGATTATTTCTGGAGAAGTTTCTAATGTTGTTTGATAACATTTGATTTTTCTCTAAGATTGCAACATTTCAACTTGTTTTTTGATACTTGGAGTTGAGCAGGCCAATAGAGAGAAAATATTTTATAAGAAGTGTTAAAATGTCATCAAACATTTTTGAAATAAGTGAGTTTTAAAAATACGCTGTATAAAGCCTTGGGTATTGGATGGGGAACCACCACAAAATGTATCCTATTGATACACAACTCAAAAAAAATTATCTCTAGCTCTGATGCTTATGGTGCTGGTTTAAGAAAAAAACGGTGGAGGGGAAATACTGCTATAGGTTTATTGTTTGTGAAATTTCTATAACTCTATTCTACATGCCCCACACCCTTCCACATCACGGAAAGGAGAAACTGGACAAATAATTTTGTATGGATCTCTTAATGGTCTAAAGAACATCAACTATATTTAGAGCAACCAATGATGACCATTCTACTTTTTGTGAAAGAGTTTAACTTGTTATTTTAAACAACAAAAAAAATCACACATAATACATTTATTTACAAGTAAGGTATTTCTCCCAATAAAATGATATATACAAAGACATAAATATTCCCTCTCCGCCCTCAAGAAAAAAGCTGTATTAAAGTCAGTGTGTATCATCAGTAATGACTTACTGTCTTGAAAATACAAGGCAAGTTAGTAGGTTGAAAGTTTACAGGCAGACAAGACTCTCATATATGTTCAAGTAGAAATGAAATTATCTCACTGTTTAGTAAAGCAAATAGAAGCACCATTAAAGCATACTAATAAAAGAGAAGAAAAAAGAGGAAGTGTTGCAAAAATGTATTTCTTATTCAGGTTAGTGTTTAGTTTATAAGAAGATGAAACACACAGTGTCATAATTCACAAATAAATAAATAAGCCTTTGTGATCTCAGTGGCCAGACAAAAGTGTTTTTTCTACCTTTTAAAAAAATGGAACGTACATTAAATTCTCCTGAGTAAATGTAAAGAAAGTTCCCTTAAACAGAAATGTTTGGGAGGAAATTTTTTTATTTCAAGATATAAAATTAGCAAGGTAGGTGACAGTCACAAAACTTTAACTCTATTAATATTGGCTGATTCTAAAGCTTTGAGTATGATTAAACCTCACCGTGCTACTCTAAGAAAGCAGCTACCACATCAATACAATCATTTCTTGTTTCAATTTATTCAGGGGGAAAAATAGCATACTTAACTTTAGGATCAAATTTTTATGTTTATTTAATTCCAGTGCTCTCAATCACTTCAGAGACATTATCTCCATCCTCTCTATATCTTGGCAGGAGGGGGAGGAAATAATCATCGGGCTTTTTCCTGTCTCAGGCTTGGAAGACAATTGTTGAAGTAAATAAGGCATAAATATGTGTACTCATGGTCTTGAGCTGGGCGGGCTGTTTCTTACCTTCCTAAGCTTATACCAAGGGTGCTCAAAGTGCCTTGTTGTGTACCCTCATTAGTTACAGAGCAAGAGACATTCATTGATGTGGTTTCAGATTCCACATTGCACCTAACCTCTGAGAAGCCCCCACCTGTAGAGTTTGGGGTGGTATCAAAGCAGAATATCCACCATTTTATGGAAAGGCTACTAGAATAATCTTCCTTTGTCCAATGACATATCTGTATGAGGCTGGTTTTTCTTCATATACTTCACTCAAAACACAAACCGCAACAGATTGAATGCAGAAGCGGATATAGGAATCCAGCTGCCTCTATTAAGCCAGACATCAAAGAGATTTGCAAAAAAAAAATAAGTATAACAGTGTCACTCTTCTTGCTAACTTTTTCTTTTTGGAAAATTCTATTTCATAAAATGTTATTTAACACACAATGAGTTTTTAAAATTTCTCAGTTTTAACTTCTAATACAGAAATGTCAATAGATATAATGTACATAAATGAAACCTCTTTCAACCCTAATTTTTAAGCTTATAAAGAGGTTTTGAGACTAAAATGTTTGAGAACTGTTGGTATAAAGGTACAGAACTGAGTTAAAACTTGGCTTTGCAAGCTGGAATCCTGAGGATCCCAATAATGGAAGATTTTGGTGTCATTAAGGGGCGACTTAGTCAAGATTCATTATAAGATAATGCGAGCACTGTCTCTGGAATAAAGGAACCGAACAATAATGTCTGTTAATATTGTTGCCCCGATCGTATAGGCTCACAAATGTTAGGTATTATCATCATCATCATCATCAGTAGTAGTAGTGTATTACAACATCTCTGCAGCTCATTGGTGACATACAAGGTAACTTCTTGTTCCTTTACAACCTGTGTGGGGCTATACTCAATAGCTCTTCAGCTTCTTTCAAGAAGTAACCCTAAATTTTCTCATGTGAATACGTCATCATTTTATGAGACAATATCCATCTGCAGAGCATTTAGGATTGCAAAACCAAAAGTGTGTAAGGTAGAGAAGTGACAGATTTCCTAAGAATGACTTTTCTTCCTGTAAGGAAGGGAAAGGAGAAAATGGTTGTACCCATTGAAAAATCCCTAAATAAGTGTAATCCTTTAAAAAAAAAACCTCACCTCTTTGACAAAGACTGAGGTAGAGTTTAATGGTTCTAGAATCTCCTAAAATGTCTAGGAGAAAGCTATGACAACGTAAAGTATTGAAACACTTTTATGTGATTAAAAAAAAATAGGGAACTGTTTCTTCTCCCGTAGTCACAGTTCTAGCTGACCAGGGTAGAGGAAGGAGACCGGGAGTCAGGGAAGGTGGGGGAGCAGCTGCAACATGATTCAAACACAAAGCACTTCTGGGAAATCATCTTTGGAGTCAATCAGACTACACAAAAATGAGCTTACACAAGTTTTTGGGGGCAAGAAACAGAAGTAACGATTTGTATTAGTCTAATGATTCTCAGAGCTGTTTTTACATATCTAATGTCATTTAATCAATGGGAAATAGGAGATTACTGAATTGGAAATTATTCACATGTATTTGAGCAGACAATGTGGAGGAGAGATGCAATAGAGGAAATTAAAACTATAATGGAATTAAGTTCTTACATTATTTT